TGGTAAGTTATAATGACTTCCCACTTTAGACATAATAATAAAATGCACTTGAATGAATATTCCATTGCTAAAAAGAAATGAAGTTTATAATAATGACCAGGATGAACCATAGTACATGTATGGTTTCTTGAGTTTAGTATGTGATCAACAAAGAATGCAGTTTAGTACACATTGTACTCAACGCTACTTATGCAAAAGATTTTGCGAAATTGTGTTTTTGGCGAAATTAGAACATGAAGATAATGAATTAAAATTTTTTTTAGAGAAATTTGAAAAATCTTTAAAAACACTATTTTTAGCCGATGAAAAACTCGCAAGATTGCGGCGCTAAGGGTCCTTGGGTCGCATCCGGGTTCGAGCATGGATATTTGTAAATGTGTCGTGGGTTGGGTTGGGACAGCAGCCTTGGCTGAAACCCCGCCCACTCAAGTACGAGTATAAAGGCAAACTAAATAAATAAATATCCTTTTTTGAAAAACAGCCGAAAATTGGAATTCAGGAATTGCTGACTAGTGCCTTTGAGTGCTTATAACTACCAATGATGGTTTAGATTAGACTACTATTGACTGATGAGGTTAAATGAAATTTTTAAATTAATAAAAAATGTAATATCAGCAAACTATACTTTACTCCAATAGTTTCGTGGAGTACAAACTTTTTCTTAATGTTTATTTACCTCGATAAGATTAAAGTAAGGTGGGTTCACTACGTGTTGAAAAGTGTGCATTTCAATAATCTGACGATTTGAGCGTGACATGAGAAAGTGGGAAGGTCACAAACTCGCAAAAAAAACGTTAGTTTTGTGAACTGTTGGGCAATAACAATTATTACTAAAAATATAATTTGCCGATTTCTACACTCCAAAGTGGAACACATCCTTCAGTGCGTTCAGCAGTTGGAAGTATGTCAGTTGACTGAGATATTGAGATCATAGACCGCCGTGTCATAAATTATACGTAAAACGCTCTAAATATCTGACGCGCTTGAATAAATCCCGTTTTCTACCCTTTTGTACAGTCTGCCCCACCCATGCAAACCGGCAGGTTAACATACCTCCAATATCAGAGACACGTGGGGCAGATATACTATCAATATCTGACGCGGTCGAGTATTTTCATGTAACTATTTTTTGTGTATATTATTAAAAAAAGTGTAGCCGCGTCCCCCACCGGTGGAGGGATGTACATCATATCATTTTTTTCTTTCTACCATATGATTTAAAAGTTCAATAGGTCCCTATGACACTCGAGTAAATCCCTATTTAGCATCGTGGGCTCCTCTACTCTGGTTCCAATGCGGGTTGGTCATGGAAGTTTTGCATAGCAACCACTTGAAAATGAAATTGAAAATACACATGTTACATTCAAGACAAGTTGCATTACCAGGGGAAATTAATGATTTGTGTTGTAGGTAAAAATAAAATGAACGAAGAAAACAGCATATACGAAACGTTATCGAAATTGCTAAAGTTAGAACAAATTTATCATAAACAGGAAAGGTTTCTCGCCAACAAAGAAAAGTTGGAACAGTTTGCAATGGTGAAAGAATGTTTTGAAATTATGAATGAAATAACGCAGCCCAAGTTTCGCGTTGACCCTCCCAGTGAAGATCCAAAGCTAAAACTGGATCGTGCAAGTGCCTGTAATTTACAACAGCATACCACCAACCTGTTTGATTTTTATAATCGAGGAGCAGACGTTATTGATGTTCCGCATTCTAATGATTTGGAAAAAGGCGTGAACTTGTTGACTGCTTCGTGTCGAAAGAATGAAGAACATTTGGAATTATGCCAGTCCATTGCGGAAAGTTTTGACTTAATACTTGAAAAAGTTAAAAAATCCAACAATATTTAAAATAGAATACCACATTTATTCATAAATATAAGTACAGTGCTTAATATAGACTAGAATTGCTTAATCTTACAACATCAATAATATATAAACATATTTTTTTATGAAAGTGATTGTCTTTTTATTGTTTTTTAATGGACATTGAATACAAACATTAAAAGCAGCTAACATGAAACATTCATGGGTACAGTCAATTTGAAGTTTTTGTGAAAAGATGAAAATTGGACCATCACAATCATGTAAAAGCTGAAAAAATGTGTGCTCTTAATAAATACTATTCCAACTAGATTTGACATTCTGTTTTTATTGTCGACCCTGTACGGAATTGAAACAAGAAGGTAACATGAAGATATGTATTTAGATGTATAGAATACCAAAAGTATACAGCAATTTTTTATACAAGAAAATTCATATATTACAATAATAAGTTGGTGTTACCAATTTCAAATTTAGAAAGTTGGTTCTTAACATTCTCTAACGCTACTTCCATTAACACGAACCTTGAGTAATTTGTAGACAGTTTATGTACAACATATGCGTTTAAGCCACAGATATTATGAAAATTGACATAGAAGCACCAAATTGGAGATATTTGCGTAATAGTAGTATTTACGTAGTCTGTGTAAACAGTGAAGTATAGACGAATACAACTCTTATTAAAACATCTTTTTTTTAACAGCTGTAAACCTTTCCATATATAAATCGTAACCGTCCACCTCCGAAAGCTCTTTTACCTCGAACAAATTTCCATCCAACGCCAAGTTGGATATTTTCGATTCGCCTAAAACTGCGGGATGTATGGCTGATAGCTGCAAACAATTCTCTTCCAGTCGAAGTGTTTTTAATCTTGGACATGTGGCCACATGATAGGTAATTTCAGATATTTGGTTTTGATTTAAAATGAGCTCGATTGCATACAGGCCCGATATTTCTGGTGGGATGCAGTTTATTTCATTTCTGGAGAGATCTAATACGTCTAGATGTTTAAGCCCAGTAAAAACTAGTGGAAATTCCTTAAAGTGATTATCGGATAAATAAACTTGTTTCAAATGAATCAAGTTAGATATGGTACGTGGTAACGAAATTAAATTGTTATGCGATCCGTTAAATAATTCCAATTTTGTTAGTGCGCCAATGCAGTCAGGTAACTTCGTAAGTTTGTTTTTATTGAGATTTAATTGCTTCAAATGAATGAACCTGCTTATTTCGTTCGGTAATGTTATAAACTTATTATCCGATATATCTAAAGTTCTTAAATTTCCGTCAAGTTGTAAAATACCTGGAGGAAATTCATTTAATTTCTGTTGCGATATCTTTAATACTCCCGTTTTCTTTGAAGTTTCCAAATGTTGTTTTAGGCCGGAATTTCCCATTACGGTTCTTATAACATTATATGCAGTAACTAAATGCGCTTTTATCACAGTTTCACTTAATACTGACGAATTTAAATAAAAAACAATCGTCAATATCGCTCTTTACAAAAGGTTTCAACGATTACAATAGAAATAAATAGATAAAATCTTGTGTATAAAAGGTGTTTTGTCAAACTTGCGGTGTCTAATTTGCTGGCGCTTTTAGAATTCAGTTCACGCACGGTGCCGTCAACCGATACACAATTTATACAACGTGAGTAGGCCAAGTTTTTAGCGCATTTCCACAATAAAAAAAATGCGCTATTTGCCCGTCCGTCCGCTCGTTCGTTGAGACGCTACTAGTTAGCTATTGTTTTACTTTTTTCGTTATTTGGCTCGTTATGGTAGAAGGAATTTTTTCTGCGTTTATTGCTAAAAAAGTTATTGTAAAAAAACCAACAAACCGTTTTTACATGTTCCATAATTTTACACTTCTGCCGTTTATTAACTATCCTAGAGATCGTTTATAATATATGTTGTATTGCTGTCTGTTGGTCTGTCCGTCTGTTCCTTTGTCTGTCTGTCCGTGTGAAAGACAACTTTGTTTAGAAATGTCCAATCGCTTTGACATCTCCGTTAGTTATGAACTAAATTGCATGAAATTCAATATGGGCATAGCTTTAGCCATATAATACGCGTTCTGCTTTTCAGATCTTTCTTTTATATCTAAGATACTCATAAAGGCGTGGCACACCAAAATTGCATTTTTTAAATGGAACACCGTATACCCTATATAACGATATTTTAATTTTTCTCCCGATTTTAAGCAAAATTTGTAAGAAGCATAATTATGTACCCAAATTCAATCGTTTCCGAGTTATCGCGTTTTGAAAATAAAAGGGTTTTTTTAAATCTATTAAATGTAGAACAATGAATCTTTAGTGACATCACGAATTTCATTTGAAAACATCCTGTGGTTCTGAAAAGAACCGTTTGTAAAGTTTGTTATGATTGTTTACAATTATTAATTATTAGCTTCCTAGCGCGAGCTAGGTGGCTATTGCGATGATCGTTTTTTGGACATGATAAAATTTCACCAAATGTCGACGTTTTACATCATTTTAAGCAACTTTTAAAGAATAAATTTTTTTCCGTCTGTGTATTATGTATGTGCGTACGTGCATACGTTGGCAATTTTCCAAGGTAACAGCTCGACGAATCTTGCTCAAATTTTGGATATGTATACCGGGTGGTGCCTAGCGCGACGCAGCATAGGGATTTCAATGGTAATTTCTTTATAGTCAATACTAGCTCCCCTAATTATTTTAGAACAAAAGTCTAAATACGTTTTTTTTAAGAGAAAAAAAATACTGCATTTGTTCATACTATTACTTATAATTTTCCGTTTTTCAAAACCTAAAATTTATTCGCAAGACCTTATTTTTTGTTTTTATTTTTCCTGTAGGATGAAATGGGGAGCAGGAATTGCCAAAATGTATTTTCGCATGTTATTTCCAAATGTTCCGCCGTCAACTTGCCACGCTGTATACAATGCGATCAAAAATGAGTTGCTGTCGAGTCGCCTTTGGAATTTTTGTTTACATGGGAAATCGTACTTAACTTGAACTTCCAAAGGCGACTCGACAGCAACTCATTTTTGATCGCCCGTTAGTAAGAACCACAGTAAAATTCATGTGGTTAAAAAAATTGGATTCCTCCTAGGGAAAGTTTTCATCAGAGCGCATGCGCATTCTACACATACATGCAAATATTATATGTACCAGTTCATTGAAAAAAATTTAACTTTGATAAATTTTATTTGTATAGAACATTACAAAAGAAAATAACATACTACGATTCAACACACAGTGTGAATAGTAAGTGAAATTAAATGCAAATTAACGTTTTTAACCCTAGATAAAAAGCAAGCATTTTATGAAATTTTGTATGTTTTCAAAAATTGTTGATCACCTTCGGATACATAGCGTTTACGGCCTCTAGAAGGAAGTTTGGAAATTACCACTTCGGATAAAAAGCCTTGTTTTGAACAACGATCAACGAATCGATCCAAAATTATATATGCCAATGGCACATCCATGGATATATCGGGTAGATCCTCGTAGACGCGGAGGAAACCTCTTTCCATTTGATCCTGCGTTAGTAAAACGGCAGCATCAAATGACTTTAACAATTTGCAAAGAGCTTCTTCTTTAACTGCACTATTTGCTTCTAAAGCCATCACAATCGCTTCATACACGAGTTCGTGATGAAAGTGTGGCACTTCTAGGGAGTGTAAGCAACGGCTTGCTTCTTCAATATCGCCAGAGGAAACAAACTCTTGCAAGAGCAGGGTCATCTGACGAGTCAAGTACTTGACTGGTCGTAAAGCACCGCCCACACCCCAAACGTTATGTAAACGAACCAGGCCATGTTTCATAGATAGCAAAGTATCCGCTCGACTTACAGCTTCTTGGAAATTTTTCTCCCCCGATTTTACCTTCGCAGTGATGAGGAATTTAGGAGGAATGCAGTCGTCGGCAATAGCACGCGCAATGAAATTACCGACAATGGTAGGAGCATCCGGAATATCTAGTATTAGATCGGGCAAGTTAACCAGGAGACTTTCGAAGGCTTTAGTTATATCGATTTCGTTAATAACGTGGCCGAATAAATCCGAAATTAAAACAGACGTCATTTCTCTATGGGAAGGTTTGTGATCCATCGAGATTTCGATGCCTATTTGCACGAAGATATCACGGAATTTTAGTGATATGGTGTCTTGTACTGAAAGCGCCGCTTCGTGTGTATCCCCATTTTCGAAGTACTCCAGCATGATTGGTTCAATTTTTTTCTTCAAGTCTTCCATGGACACCTTCGGAATTACTACCTTTAACTCGATGTCGCCGCTGTTTAAATTCTCGTAATCGTAATTTGGATCGTTTACATCTTCGTAAGCTTCGAGGAGTTCCGAGCCGGGGACGCCCCAAACTCCTTTCCCTCCTGCACCGCCCTTTTTAGGAAGGCCACGGCCGTGGCCGTTACGAGAACGACGACTGTTTTTCCAGCTGCGAGGGCCATGTATAAATCCGGTGTGAACACTCGGATTTTCCTTACTATGTTGACGGTTTAATTTCCGTGGCTTACGTTTGCTGGAGGGTTCAGATGAAGTTGAGACTTCTCCATTTTGTTCAGCAACTTCTTTTTCTTCAGCATTATCTTCAATTTCAACTTCAAGGTCAACTGAGTCTCCATCAGAAGCCATCTTCAAGTCCGAATTCGACATGGCTCACCAAAACTGTAAATAAACATACACTTTCTCAACAAAAGGTAAATAAACAAACGTGTTTGGTGTTGGTAAAATTTTCTACACGTCGTTTGTTGGTGTACGTGACAAAATGCGCTACCATCATTTCGCTACATATTAATGAATATTAACGCAAATAGTAAGCTACGGAATCGGAAATAGCAGTTACATTTATGCCGACCACGACCACTTCGAGTTTGCATAAAGCAGGAAAAAATAAAATGTGCGACATAAACAAAACCATCTGGGCGGATTACCGGTAACGCAATTCTACATTAAAACCATCTAAACATCCACAAAATCCCCACATAAACGCATACCTGTGTAAGTATTTAAAGGTATTAGTTTGAAAATTTAATAAACAACGTTGCGATCGTAAAAATATCACTTTTGCGTAATAAGAGTAACAGACACACCGAACAGCCAGCCATAAACAATATCATATCACATATTAAAGTTTAGACACGTTGTCGCAGATGTAAATATGTATCTTTCTTTATCTTCGCCCCATGTTTTCCCATTAACATGAGTGAAATAGCGGATCCACGAAATGACGAAACACGCTGTGCTATTCCGCATGAGCATAGGATCGCACCATTCCTTTCCTTTCTAAAGCCGATTTTAAATCTTTTACGCAGTAAAAAAAGCATGATCTTTTTAAAAATAGCTAGAGCAATGAAAATTAAAGTGGGCGCTAGTCACTCTATACATTAATTGTACAATTGTTATCGTAGACGTGGTTATTTATACTCTAAATATTAAGCGGATCGCAGAGAGTAACAGAATATTTATAAAATAAACCAACAAAGAACGATGTTTGTGGTATTTCTATATTACCTACGAACTATTATGAGAAAAAGGTTGTTTTAGAAACCCCCGCTTGTTCAACAATTTCTAGGGGTCGGACTCTTCTATAATTAAAAATTTGTAGAGCCCAGTCGATTGCCGCACTGAACAGGAACACCTATCTACAGTGTGTACAAGTACAGTATGTTTCTATAAAATGTTGCTGTAACGTCATCATACTCATTTCTGAATGTACAAATTTTTCTGTAAATTTACAGATCTATCTGGGAAAATATTACAATATTACCTAAATTGAACACATGATTTATTTAAATGCTTTTATAAAATTGATTATTGATGTTTACAGGAACTAACACTTTTAACGATAAATATAAAATGGTTCTTAAATAGATTGATTCAAAACAGTGCATTTATCACTTACTTGCAGTCACATTTATAATCCTTAAATTTAACACGAGTTCGGATTTCATTATTTATCACTTCGACACCGATGTTAAAACTGAACCAAACATAATTCAATTTGTTTATATGGCAAACAAAAACTTTCTAGAAAATATTCGAAGATCGGCTCTAGAAAATTCGCTACACAATATATCAATCGACACTTCGTATATTTGTCAATTAAATTATTTGTATTATGCTCAATGACACTTACGTTATATCAGACGACAGATTCACAGCATCCTGAGCTGTCACTTTTAATACGATTTAAATCTTTTTTATGATTTAAATACTTTTTTCGATTTATATCATTTGATCTTAAATCTTTTTACGGAAAATGATTTTTGATTTAAGATTTAAATCTTCATGAAAACTATCTTTGATTTTGAACTTAAAAATATGATTTAAATCTTTTAAAAAGATTTAAATACTTTCGAAAAGATTCAAATCGTTTCCGAGTGATTTAAATCTTTTAGAGACGATTTAAATACATACTAACAAATTCTCTTGATTTGTTTCAACCTGACTAAGCTAATTAACCCGGGTTTTATTTCGGTAGACGTTTATCAAGAGTGGTGCCTAGCGCGACGCAGCATAGGGATTTATTTCAATGGTAATTTCTTTATAGTCAATTACTAGCTCCCCTAATTATTTTAGAGCAAAATTCTAAATACATTTTTTTTAGAGAAAAAAAGACTGCATCTGTTCATACTATTAGTTATAATTTTCCGTTTTTCAAAACCGTAGAAATCGACAAAATAAATCAGATATGCCTTCGAATTGCCTAAAAAAACAACGTAACTTTTCATTATTTGCCTTTGACGTATATTAAATTTATAGGTACTTGTTTATAACCGTATTTAGACTTTTGCTCAAAAATAATTAGGGGAGCTAGTAATTGGCTATAAAGAAATTACCATTGAAATCCCTATGCTGCGTCGCGTTAGGCACCACCCGGTATGTATTTATTACAAAATCTAGTATACAGAGATTGACGATGTCTTGGTTTTTTAAAATTTCTTTCGCAAAAAAATACATATTTTAATTTAACAAATAATAACAATAAGATACGGTAGAATGGTAGGTATATTGATGAATGATGTTGAGAGTTTCGAGCAAGATCATCAGACCAATCAGTTTTATTGAATTTAAATCCTTTACAAACATTTTGTCACAAAACGATTTAAATCATTTCACAAAACGATTAAATCATCGGAAACATGATTTAAATCTTTATAAGTAATTTAAATTAACCCGTGTAGAGCAGTTCAGTGGAAGCTCGACTGCGGTACAGGGTCCCTGGTTCGAATCCGGGTTCGGGCATGGATATTTGTAAATGTATAGTGGGTTGGGTTGGTAGAGCAGCCTCGGCTGAAACCCCGCCCACTTAAAAATAAAGGCAAAAAATAAAAAAAAAATAAAAAAAATAAAATAAAAATTGGATTTAAATCTTTTTGAATGAATTAAATACATTGAAAGTATCTTAAATACTTTCTAAAAAGATTTAAATCACAAAAAATATTTAAATCTGAAAATGATTTATTATTTAAATACTTTCCTATTGACAAAAGTATCTTTGATTTAAATTATTTGTTAAAATGAAATGCATCTTTGATCTTTGATTTAAATCGTTTTTTAAACGATTTGTGACAGCATCCACAATCCTCATCGGTTCTGCTGCGGCGGATGGCTAAAGGAAGTGGTATAGGTACTGATACCAATAAGTTATTTCTGAATTGTAAGGTAATGGTATTTCTATAAACATTTATCAAGTAGGCGGACGATGCGAAGCTTGTCTAATACGCCAGTGGTCGATATGTTCACCAGATAGAATACCACTTTTCAGATGCTCAGTTGAGCCTTCAAGTCGAAAAGACCATTGAATATACAGGCTGATTCAAATTCGAAATTTTGAAACTGAAAAAATTCCGACTACTTTCGGAGATATACTGAAAAAAAAGGAAATTTGGCAAAATCGTTTTTATTTTTTACCGAAGTTATTTAAAAAGATATTTCAAAATAAATAACACATTATTATGGCCACTTTTTCCCTCTACAGATGCTAGTTTTAAATTTTAAGTCTGACCTTTCGTCTGAAGGTTAACCATCATACACTTTGTTTTTTCGTATGGAAATTTTAATAAGAAATGGCGCTATTAATTAGTAAAAAGGCAAGAAACCAGGAACATACACTATCCAAGACAAAGTTAGATAGGTAAAAAAGAAGATATTTTAACAATATATAAACAATTAGTGGTTCACATTTTTGAAATCGGAAAAAATGTTCTATCAAATGACAGACTATAAAACTAGTTGATAATGATGGTTAACTGGAGACGTAACTTAAAAGTAGCATCTTGTAGGGGGAAAAAAGTGGCCATAATAATGTGTCATTTATTTTGAAATTTAAACTACCTACCTATCTCTTACAGTTTCCTAGTTCCCCATGGTGGCCCTCGAATTTGAATCAGCCTGTATACAGGGTGGTGACTTGCGTTACGCATCATAGGGATTTCAATGTAAAATTCATAACATGCGATTATTGGCTCCCCAAATTATTTTATAGAGCAAAAATGTAATAAGGTTTTTTGTAGAAAAAAATTTTTTACGTCAATCAACCGTATTACTTTTCAATTTTTTGCATAATAAAGACAGAAAATTGGAAAAATAAAACCCCCGTCTTTTTCAATAATCAGTGATGCCATGGAATTTTGTAATACAACACTACGCCAATATCCGTCATGCCATGGAATGTCTGCTATAAAACAAATCAATATCAAAAAGTATTATATTTAGAACAGCGAATTCAACATAAAGAAAGACCAAATTACTAAAAACGGTTTCCTAATATAACAATTTACAATAAATGTGCACATAAGTCACCATTAACTGCAAGACAGTAACCAAGTCGTCATAAAATCCATTTCGAACTGCTGCTAATTGATAACTGGATACCTTTTTGTTTTAGAAAATTCCATGGCATGACAGATTATTGAAAAACTTGCGGGTTTTATTTTTCCAATTTTACGTCTTTATATGAAAAAAATTGAAAACTAATACGGTTGATTGACGTAAAAAAATGTTTTCTACAAAAAACCTTAATACATTTTTGCTCTAAAATAATTTGGGGAGCCAATAATGGCATGTTCTGAATTTTACATTGAAATCCCTATGGTGCGTTATGCAAATCACCACCCTGTATGTGATAATAATGCAGAACCGCAAAAATTCAGAATCTCTGAAGAATCTGGGTGCTTGTCAGCAGTGTTGTAATATCTGAAGCCCTTTGATACCCATACAAAATTGTGGCCAAAAATTTCGACTAAACAGCAGATAGGTCCAGACCTAATGAAAAAGTCGCACTGGCACTGAATGCTGCTAAGGAGAAAATACTACAATAAAACAAATTAGATCTACTGATGTATTTGTGTAGTTTTGGATCCCAGACACAAGAAAGGCATTTTTCAACTCACAAAATGGGGCAAGGAGTTAGAGAAATATTCGTTATACATTTGAAAAGTTATATACTTAAGTCAAAGTATTATACCTATTGCACCTCCTGTAACAAGGGAATGACTATGTAAAGAATAAGTAAAAACGAAAAGCAGAAGAAAAAGGAGATGATTTTGATTTATTTCAATACATCATTTGTGAAGAAAATGAATTTACTATAGAGCCTTCGAAGAAAGAACTCTACCAATATTGTGAAAAGCCTCGAGTAGAAAAGGAAGAGGATATTTCAAAATGTTGGTGGAGAAATGTAAACACCTATCCATACCTTTCAAAAATGGCAAGAGATTTCTTTTCTATTATCGCCACATCAGCTTGTTCAGAAAGGCTATTTTCAAGGGATTCTCTCAATACACCACACAGAAATCTAGAAGTCAGCCGTGTCTGAAACCAATTATCAAGAAATAATGATTTATCAAAAAGGCTTGATTCTTGACCGTGCACTCTTGTCTTGATTTTCATACTTAGTTTCTTCACTTGAAATTTTCTTGATTTAAAGACAAGATCAAGAAACAGTCTTGATTTAGTGAATCACTAAAAATACTGCTAACACATGAATTCCGTTCGAGGGTTCGTCATCTCAGCACTTGGCAAAGCTGCAGATGTTATTAAAAAACATTGCTGTTAGTTAGTTAGTCAAATCGATCACTTCATGTATAACTTTATTGTACTCATTTAGCACCTATACATTATAAAACATACTATAAATAGCTATAACAGTTCAAAACAATATGAGAAAACAATGTATAAAAATCACATGTTGAAAGTCTTATGATTCATGTCTATGTGCAAGTATAGTGCTTGGATTTTATTTTGATATGATCACAGACAGTTAATAAAAAAAGCCTCGATGGTATGCAATTTTTATTACAAAATTAATAACTAAGTAAAAATTAAGGATACTGTTACACTTACACAATACAATTCAATATCTACAAAGAATAAATCATAGGGTAACCCTCCACAAAATTAGATAAAATAGGTACAATAAAAATTAATACGTAAACGTTTAAAATTGGCAACTTAGTACCGCTAATGGCAATGTTCCGTTACGTCAACAACAACTGACTTTTTCCATCCAAATAAAAAGTATCCTACTGCAGCTCCAAGAACAACTGCTATACATAACCACACATTGTATGTCATGAATATTAACATTAAAAAGTAAGACAATGTTATTTGTACGATATGTAAGAATGTCTGGAAGAAGTGCGTAATACTCAGCATTGTGGGCCTACAAAATGTTTAAAATTAGTAAAATCAAATTTTGTTACAACTATTGTTGTAGTTCATTCAAAGTAGGTACCTATTTATTGGTAGGTATCTGTTTATTAAGTATATTTATTATTAAATTCCCCTGCTGTACTCGAAACAAGTTTTCTATCTCACAATGAAAATAATTAGAGGAGTTGATTAATTGGTGGTCCTCTAAATATAACAAATGTTAATTTAAAATGAACTTCAACAATAGTTAGTTGCACTATACACATCTATACAGGGTCCACATAAAGCATGTAAAAAAAAAAGGTAGTAGGAGTAGTAATAAAGGGGATTAGAACAGAAATTTTATCCAAATAAACTGAGGTTTCATTCTTGAGTAAATCATTACTTGAATATTGGACAAGTACTAACCTACAGTTTCTCAATCAGGGCACCACGTTTGAAACTACCCAAAGCCAGGCTGTGATTGATCTCAGTCTGGCATCATCGAGTATCTCTGACCACATAACGAACTGGTAAATCACTCCAGAAGCGACTGTGTTACATCATAGAATAATTTCACTTGAAATTAAGTGCAAGGGGGCCGTCCAAAAGGGTTACCGCAACCCCAAGACAACAAACTATTACTTTTCGGGTGACGCCTCTCGGATCCCGCCGACTTACAGGACAAAGTAGAAAACTAAGTTGGCAAATTGTTCAACAAGGCAAAGAAATAGCCGATTGGGAGGGCTATAAGGTAAACCTAATGCTATATAAGCAGGATATTAGCAGGCGTTAGAAAAGATATGGAAGAGTTTTACGCCTCTATGTCTTCTCTTCACCCCGCCTAGATAACATTCTGACAAAAAGTTCATATTATACAGTCGAGGTACTGAGATACACTCACTTTCTAGGAGACACCACAACGCCATATCCTGGCCAGAGATAACCCCCTTCATTCCCACAAAGAATGACTGGTCGGTTCCCAGTCAGATAGTAGATGTGGCGAGGATGAGCTGGGCAGTGTAATCGTTGTCAGCATACAAATCACCAGGATTGGACGGCATAATACCAGCCCTCCTGCAATGGAGAATGGTCGAATGGATGTTGTTGTCACCTACCTAGTGAGAATATATACCAGCTGTATCGCTTTCATATAAAAACCTAACAGATGGAGGGAGATACAAATTGTTTTTATCCCCAAACCTGGCAAAGGTGATTACTCTACACCTAAAGCATACCACCCAATCAGTTTGATGTCTTTTCTTCTTAAGACACTTGAGAGACTGTGCGATAGGTGCATAGGGGATACAGTGCTAACACGCACCCTAACTAACACGCATACTGTGTTTACAGTCGGCCCTGCACTTGAAATAATAGCTTTACGCCACCATGGCGTAACGAAGGTCGTACGAGGCTGGATTGCGCAGGTGCGGAATCTCAACAGCAGTGCCCATCAGCGTTGACGACGAAATACTAAGGTGCACAATAGTGAGAGGATCCCCCAAGGTGGGGTGCTAATACCACTTTTGTGGATCTTAACTGTAAACAGCCTCGTCTGTACGCTAGGGTATGCGGACGATATATCCATACCAATAACCGGAAAATTTGGTGCTAGTCTATACGGACTAATGCAATCAGCTCTTAGAGTAAGTGAAGAATGGTGTAGGGAACACTCCTTGTCCATCAACCCGATCAAAATGGAGCTAGTTCTCTTCACAAGAAAAAGAAATGTGGAGGGTCTTCGAACTTTCGTGCTATTCCAAGAACACCTCCAATTTTCAGAGACAGCGAAATATCTAGGAATCATACTGACAAAAAAAACTGAATTGGAGCAAACATATCCAGTCGAAATAGCAAATAGCGCTTTCTGGCAAAGATGCCGCACCATTGGGATACTTTAGTGGTCATCTCCGAAGACTGTCTTGTGGCCGTGATAAGACCTATGCTCTACTATGGAGCAATTATGTAGTGGCCCAGAACCAGACTCTACAACTGTAGCACTTCTTAACCATGTGCAAAGTGCACAAACAGCAACACCCTTGAGCTCATATGGGTCAAAGGGCATGCTGGAATGGAAGGTACTAATGAGAAAGCCGATGAGTTAGCTAGACTGGCCTCAAAACAGCTGTTTTATGGTCCAGAGCTGGCTCTTCCATTTACAATTGCAATTGTAAACAACTTACGAATCCGAAACCAAGCATAGAGCTAGGTGGAACATGATCTTACTATGTCGCCATGCGAGAGGATCCTTCAAAGGACCATGACCATGACCGTTCTTGCACAGGGCGATCAAGAAACAACCGGAGGTAACTCGTGGTCATACTTTCTGGGTACTGCAAACTAAACAAACACATGCACCACATGGGTTTGGTAGAATCACCATCTTGTAGAGGATGGTACACCGACGATGAGATGGCACACCACATACCCGCTCTAGTCCAACTGAGACGATCCATGTTGGAGGTATCCTGACCAGACATGGGTATGATTGGAGTGTACGACGGCTTGAGTGACGTTAAGGGGTCGGACGACTCTAGTCAGGGGGGTATTACAAAGGGTCCGAATTTGAGGCATATATAATTTTGTTGTTGTGTGGCTAAGATTTGCAATTGAAATTTTTTTTCAAATGCGGAAAAGCCTGGGTTTGGTTTAATTATTTTCATGTTTCACTCCGTTTTGGGGCGCGCCATCTTTATGCAAGAATGTTTGATAACTCTTTACAAACTCAAAGGTAGCTCCCAAATGAAATATTATGGATCATTGCTTTATTTGGAAAAAATGATCCAACACTCAATTTTTTTACGTACTTACTCGTTACACCCTATATAGGGTATTTTTTTGGGGGCTTTAGTTAAACGTTTCTCGTAAGGTGAAATAGGTAGATTTTTGAAAATTTTCACTTAGTAGTTACTCTGAAGGCTGAATCGATATTTTCAAAATGGCGACACTCACGGAAATACAGGAAGTAGCTAGTCACTTTGTTATTTTCAATGGCAACCCTTATTTTTTATTGCCTTTTAGTGGACTTTAAAAAAAGCTAAGTTGTGTACCACCCTACCTATGGAGATCCAAATTTAAGAAATTTCGAAGACTAAAAATTCAGTTTTTTTTCAATCAAATGACCATTTTCCTTACCATTGCATTTGATAGAAAATCAAAATTGGCATATCACATGTTTCTATGACAGTTTCCGACTTATTCCCATTTCATTGAATTGAATTGATTTTCTTTTTAGTAGTTGGCCATGATTTGATGACAATTGAATTTTACCCAAATCTAGTGACCCTAATCCGTCACCTGTTATAGGTTAACATAAGTTTTCCAATAATCGAAAAATGTCTGGTAGTGGTTTCACCCACGAAGATTTTTGGAATTTAATTGTTATATATATGGTGAAATGGACAGAATCGCGGCACGCGCTTGCCGGACAATCATTGAGCGATATCCAGATAGACTGCGTTCTAATGATCATACCATTCGAACACTGGAATGAAATTGTGTCATAAAATCATGGTCGACTACTAAAACAAAAATCAGAAAAAAAAATGGTAGGGATCAATTCAATAAAATGGGAATAAGTCAGAAACTGTTAAAGATAGCTATAGAAACATGTAATATCAAAATATGCCAATTTTGATTTTCTATCAAATGCAATGGTAAGAAAAATGGTCGGTCATTTGATTTAAAAAAACAGTCTTTAAAATTTCTTAAATTTGTAACTCCATAGGCACAGTCGTACGCAACTTAACTTTTTTTAAGCATACTAAAAGAAAGCCCTATTCTTTCTCTATGCACTGGTAAACATGGGTTGCTATAACTACAACCGTTTTAAAGTAATCAATTTTCAAGGTACCGTCTGCATCCGCCATTTTTTTCTATTAAAAGTAAAAATAACTTAAAAACCATACATTGTAGATATCAACATGTGTATCAAAAGAACTGACATTTCACGTAGTATCCAAAAACGCAATAAAAAATAGGGGTTGCCATTTAAAATAAGGAAGTTTGCTAGCTACTTCCGGTATTTCCCGAAATACCACCATTTTGAAAATATTTTACATCGATTCGGCCTTCAGAGTAACTCCTAAATGCAAATTTTCAAAAACCTACCTTTCTCAGGAACGTTTAACAAAAGCTCCAAAAAAACACTCTGCATAATAAAATACATAACATTAAACAATTAGTATAATCAAGCATAAAACATGTAGCAGGCAAGTATTAGTCACAACATAAAAACCGAAAATTGAAAAGACTGAAGCTGTGCAAACAATAAGATAAAAAGAGCAAGCAGTGCCTACCTGATGGGAAGTCTATTTAAATGTAACTGATATTATGTAATTGTGCAATTGTTCACAATACTACAACCATTGGGTATTCATTTAAATGAATAAACAATGCTATTACGGATCTAAAATTAAATGAGTGAATAATAGGTACTTACTACAGAATATGAAAGAAAAAAAAACTCGAAAAAAAAACAATGGAGATGATTATCATCGCTTTCGTACAACCCATTATTTTCATAATTTCTGAGCTGCAGTATTTCATTTTAGATTGATCAATTGAAGTGGAAAGAAATCGTGTTTTGTGAAAAATGTTATTGAAGAGAAAAAAACATCTATATCCAAGGTTGGAAGCGGCCAGCCAATGAGGATGTTATTGTTGAAACTCAATTATTATGAAAAAAAGGCCTCAGGAAATGAAATGTTATTAAGTATATTAAAATTCTTTTGTTCAGTTAAAGTTAAATTGGCATGTGCATGTATTTTTGAAGGAAATTTCGTTAGGACTTATTTTCTAAGATGATCAGTGTAGGAGATATAAAGATATGATGAAAAAAATGTGAGGAAAAACCTTTCTTTTTTTAGGAAATTGTCACTTATGAGCGGAATTATATTGGAAAAATAATTTGTAATTCGTAAAAAGTGTATCAAAGAAAAGCTATGGAGCATTACATTTACAATTTTTTCTATAGCAGTTTTCAATATAATCAACAGACAAAAAAAAGGGGCCTTCTTTGCCACTCCTAAATTTTAGCTCACTTTATAGACGTCCGAACATGTATGTTTAATTCACAACGCTTCCACTCCACACCTCCCCTTTTCAGTATTGGTTGAATGGAACAGACATAGAACTTACATTCCATTCGGTTAATTCAACAAGAATTTCATACATTATTTGGTGCAATTTGTAGAATGATTTCTGTACCTATATCAATCGACTGGATCCAAAAGTCAAGTTTTTAAAATCGTTCGCTTTTTTTAAACCAACTGCTTAACTTGGTTCGCTAAATTCCTACAATTACACAGAATAGAGTGGTGCATAACCAAATATTGGTTTACAAAGAAGCTATAATGTATGTGAAAGCAACAGGCCAATAACATTTTTGCTCATGGTTGTTTCTAATTTTAAAAAGGAGCATTTTGGTTTGATAATAGTGTCAATAGCGTTCAATTAAAATAATTAATAAAACGTATGTATTTTGCCGCATGCTAAGCATATACATTTAATAATAAAACACTTACGGTTGTTTATGGATGACTTCACCGACCATACTGCGTAACAAGAAACGCGATTAGCAACTTTACAATTTACATCACACGCAACTTAAAAAACATTTACAAAGTGACTTACTGTACAACTTGATTATCTTCATTAACAACTCCTTTTTCAGCCGGAAATGTGACGGCGCGATATTGCAACGCATTATACGTTTTCCAAAATAAGTATTCCCTGCAGCGAATTAATAAAATTGTGAAGAAAAACAAAAATGATGTACCTGTAATATTTTAAGCCTTCGTATAAAGCGGCCATAAAAAATATGCCTATCATCGATCCCACCAAACCGCCAACTGTGTCAAATTTCCAGCTGTCAAATAATACTGTTTCCGATATTCTAAAATGGAACTAAATTATCGTTGCAGTTTGCGTGTTTAATGTGCAGAAAACGTACAGCCATACTCATCATACTATGACCACCATCACCATGTCCACCATGACCACCGTCATGTCCTTCGTGACCACCCATAGGCTCTGTATGTTGTGCGTGGATGTCATGCCCGCTCATTTGATGGTCTTGTGGATGATGATGGTGCATGCTATCGTGGTCCATGTTTGTTTAAACTGAAACAAAAGTGATATAGTGAATATTTTATTTACTTGTGTAGTAAGGGATATTGTGGTTTACCTCAAACCCCAAACGCGACTTATTTATTGCAAATCCCAAAAAACAAGACAAATGATTGCAAGCAATATAGACAAAACAATAAGAAGAGAAAAAGATAAATTAGAGGTGGAACATTTTTGGTAAATAAAGTACACCGAATTACTTGAGGGAATATTTACAGTGATCATCACTACACTATTTGGCATTACTGTTACATGCAGAGATTTTTAATTAGTTCATTGCAATATAGAACCTCGTACAGAACCACATTACACTATCTTTCTGATGTAAATTCACCACAAGAACATCATTTGTTGGAAAGTCTAATATTAAAATCGAGATTAAAATATTATTGCTACATTTTTGTATTAAGCAATAAGCATTAACATTTGAATATCGGTGCCAGTCAATAACTAATGAAATGTTTTGCATTACGCGCAGTAACCATTGCGTGAGCACTATTGATACCTAACAGATTATCCCTCAGAAAAAGGAAAATAAAAATTATATAAATTTCAGAATAATTTTGACATCTTTTGATCAAAATGCACATGATTTTTTTTAAGTAAAATAACAAACTTTTCTCCAACGAAAATGATGCATAAACGATTTTAACATCATTTCGTTACATATCAAAGCAACGGTTGCCGAACTGGCTCCTTTGGTCTCAAATATTTGGCGTTTGTTTTGGAATCTAAAATATAAATTTATTTAAAATTCACGCTCGTATTTCGAATTTAGTTATTCCCTTGTTTTCTTTGACATCGTTCTGTTCACAAAATGGAAGACTTAAAACATCGCATTATTTACGAGTATGCACGAGTTCCACCGCGCCACCAACAGAAATGGCTCAAAGGATTACCCATGTGTATAGGGAAGCAGTCATAGTCTTGGTCTTCACGGTTGACAATATGTCGGCCAGTGATCTAGACAAGAATCTGCGATTGGCTTTCAAACTCAAGCGAGTTCTGTTCACTCGCAGTCGGAGAAAGGCCGGACAAAAAACCAATCGGACCCTTAAAACCCAAAGAAGCCTCTATTGGAACACTCAAAGCAAAACCCACCAAGGTGAATTTGGGGAAAGCTCAACTGCCCCAACCACACTAGCAAGTTCTGATCGTGCCTCAACCGAAGCCAAGGGTAAGGTTTCTGCTCAAGTGAAAGATAGCGGTAGGAATAGAAAAAGGGACGTCCCTCCTTATTCACGCCACCCTCCTGGTGGACGCATGGGGGACAAAAAATAGCTCCATGCTCTATAATGGCCTTATACAGGAACCGTGGCAAGTGACTGTTTTATCAAAGGTTATCCTAATTCTGCATGAAGTTTGATTTACAGCAACAATTGCCCCAGGGCAGCGGGTTTCGTACATCCGAAACTAATAGCGTTTCCTCCTTCAGAGATCATAAGAAAAGATCTGGTGGATGTGGCAGTTGAAGCACCAATGAGCACTGGTGTTGCCGAAATAGTGTGTGCTTCGGCATACTTCCCTGGGAGAACGACGCAACTGTGTCTACGCCACCAGAGGTACTGCAAAGAAGAGGGGCTGCATCTTCTTGTAGAATGTAACACCAACTCCCATCACCTCCACTGGGGCAACACGGACACAAACCGTACAAGCGCGTACTTTTTAGAATTTCTATTGTTAGAGAAGATAGAGATACTCAATCAGGGCAATGAGAGAACCAGAAACAGGAAAGGAGTCCTGGATATTACCATTTCCTCCTCCTTTCTAACTGGTAGAATAGTGAGATGGAGGGTCTCTGATGAGCCCTCTTGATCAGATCTCGAACAGGAGTTCTAGGGGCAATTGAGCGTGGTGCCACGTCAGAACTTTAAGAGCCAATTTTCATAACTTTACTGAAGTTAGATAAACAAACCTAATCCTCATACCCAGATACTCGCACAACAGATTGGGCGGTTCGGAAGGCAAAAATAGAGACGAAGTCCAGTGACGGCTGTCTAGTGCCGGTGTGATACACTACAGCTTCCTAAGACCTGGCCACACGATTACGGCAGGTCTGCATTGTCAACAACAATTGCAAACCATGACAGAAAAGCTAGCCATTAAACACTCGGGACTGGTCAATCACTCTAGCCCACTGCTGTTTCACAACAAAGCTAGAGTTCAAACATCACGACAGATGGTCGCTAAATTAGAGTAATGTGTCCAACACCAGCCATACTCCTCGGACCTTGCAAGAAAAAAATTCAACTCCAAACTGCCTTCAAAGATTTTATTGATTCTCGCTTTCACAATTTTTTGAGCAATGAAATCAATAAACTACCTATAAAATGGCGAAAGTGCATATATAACTAGATCCCAATGGTATGTAGACTGACTTAAAGCAGCGATCTAAAAATAAACGTGCAACCGCACTCGTAGATGATTAGTAAGTACTGAGACTCCCACTTGGTACTTCGGGTGAGCTGAAAGATGTCGGATAGGGTGAGCTACACAGAAACTTGAATTCCATATGACTGAAATGCTTTAAATCAAATAAACCCATAAAGAGCGTTTAAAAATGCGGCAGAGCACCTCGGTGTGACCCCACGGAGTCATTGGATTTGACCCATTTTCAATTGGCTTGTTACATATGACATATAGGTCTACTGTGCAAAGTTTCAGCGGAATAGGTTCAAGCGTTTGGCAGGGTCAGAGAAGTGTGACCCCACGGGGTCATTAGATTTGACCCATTTTCAATAGGCTTATGACTTGTGGTGTAGCATATAGGTCAACTGTCCAAAGTTTGAACCAAATCGGTCCAAGCGTTTGACAGTTATCGTGTTCACGGACAGACGGACACCACCGACTCCCCTATAAAGCTTGCATCGCTTTGCTCTGCCGCTTAATAATGGTGCATTGATTACATGTACAAATTCATTTTTTTTTCTTTTTCCCTCACTTTTTCCATACAAACAGCTAATTTCATATGTAAGGACCCAATATTTGAAAAAAATTCGGAAATGGATATTAAATGTTAAAACTTTTACAAACGTGATGCACTGGTTTGCCTCTCGATAATGGTCTTTGGTCTATCTAATCTATGAGCGATTTTTCAAGGATGAAAGATTAAGCAATATGAAGAAACATATACCTAACAAGTTTTTATCAACTATTTATACGTCTGTCGTTAGCCACTAAAGAAAAGTCGTTCTTTTGATATGAAAATAAAAAAAAATTGAAAAATTATTGTATTATTCAAAGTCTGAGAATAGTGAAACCTGTCTATTTTAAATGTAAAACGAGATGTAAAGCATTTCATAGATAAGACCAAAGAATTAAATCCAATGGAAGCATTAATCTGACACATACAAGTAACAGTATTGTTTGATAGTAAGTAAGTATGTGTTGTATTTCGACTCGGGCTTACCAATGAATATTAAATACCACGAAACAGAAAAAAATTAATAGCATTTGTGAAGGATTACGTTTTACCCCTTCCCTTATTTTACAAAATAGAAAAAAAAATACTTCCAAACTTCGTGATTATGACAGTACCATTTTTGACCCTACTGAAAGTTTTGTGTTTGGTAGCCCATAGTTCGCCTCCTTTAAATATAGTATAAATTTCTTTACTCAAAAACTATAAGTTATTACTTACTTTCTGAGATAAATCCGTTTGCCATTCTTAACTGGTCATCAAGTACTTTATCCAGATTTCTTAGCAAAGATAGTTAAGAAAATAAACAAGGCTTTCTAATTAGGCCAATGAAGGTAAATACTTTCCTGTAACATTTAATAAAAACCGAGATAAAAGCATTCCTGTGAGAAGTTCCCTAATACAGTACCTTGCAAGTACAGATAGTTGCTTATCATTCTTTTGGTATCTTGAACTAGAACAAATAAATTTAAGGATGGTAGCTCTGAGAGAGATTACTTAATGGCATTCAAAACATTTGATAATGAGTGGATCGCAATTCAAGTAATTATAATGATTATTACTTCGCTTTGTAAATGATTCCACTCAATATATGTGTGTAGCATTTCAAGTGTGCTAAGGTTCACTATTCTCAAGTATTGGAAAACATAACTTAATCAATGTCAATGGATATTACTTGTACTTATTTTATTAGCGCAAATTCAAAACACTATTCTATTACACTCAGACACTGGACTTCGCACGACTCAATTATGAACACTTTCATGTATATTGAACTCTCATTTGTATTTTACAGTAAACGAGCGGTATTTTTTATACACAATGGATGCACACATTGCACAGATACCCGTCTACATATTATACCCCTCAAACAATTGGTCCGGCAGTGTCCGAAAAAGTTAACTGCTGTCCGTAAAACGGTATTACAGGCCCTTTCTCACTATTTTATTTTACCACAATAACCTATTACTTTTAATGGAATTTTAATCAGTATAGGGGATGATATACAGCTCAAATTAGAACACTAGGAATATCATGAATCATCATTTCGAACAGAAATCACATTTACCCTATAAATTCGAAAATGAATTTGAGCGTAAAATTTAATGTGGTCAAAAATTTCACCATCATTGAATATTTCAATTACTTCGTACTTTACTTAAGCACACACACACTTCGCACTGCTCATTCAATAAATTCCTCATTCCAAGCAATAGAACTACCTACTTACTTATAAATATTACCTCAGTAATACTGGATTTTGCACGTAGCACTACTAGAAAGTCATACCCTATCTCTGCAATGATATCAGTTACTTGTGCACCTTCAATTTAGTTTAGGTAATCTTTATACATATTAAGTTCTGTGATAAGGAATATACTTTGTACAACTTGAGCGTACAATGACATTGGTAAGGAATCCACTGGCAGATATACAGAATTTCTACCCTACACTTGGTTTTTTTGAGGTACCTGCATGTTGTAATTAATTGTAAAGTATTTAATGTTCAATTTCTTACCCTTCAATATATCTACAGTTTCTACATAAAGGAGTACAATATGTTCCAGTTCCAGTAGGAAGTGAAAGGAATTCTTGTAATTTCATTTGCAAGGTTTACTGACGTATTTATATTTATCATTTATTGATATTAAGACTGGAATGTTGATTGCATGTAAGACACTTCACTAACCTTAAAATTGATGCCTAATTGTAAATTCGAGTGTTACGGTACTATGGAACTGACGTAGATCTGTAGTTTTCTTGGTAATAAAAATTAAAAAGTTTACTTTCCGCTTTAATTAATATAATGGGGATAACTGCAACCTTTCACTTACGCAACTGACACAAACACGAAGGTGACATATAACCGTCCTTGTTTATCCTATAGCGAGAAAGAAATGGATGGGGCGTATGTGATAAAGAATTTCGATTAATTTAAATAGGTTATGTATTACTGGAATTGTCAAAGCAAACAAAAAACAATATAAAATATATTTTGGAATTATGACTATGGTGCGCCCTGTCCTTGTGGAGTTCGTATATTTCCACCTACACCGGAATTGGGTTCATAAGGAGCATCCATTTCTATTTCATCGTCATCCTCTTCATCGTGTGTTTCCGATTCATCATCATCATCATTATCATCCTCATCGTCGTCTTCCTCCTCTTCATCTAATATCTACACTCATAAGTTGACTTACTATGACAAACGGATCAAGTTACATAACGTACCTCTGTAGCGGTTTTTCCTATTGGTAGTAAATCATTGTTCCGTTGGGCGATTGAGTTTAACTAGAAAAGTTTAATTAAGTAATAATTACGAATTACAAATTTAAAACTCTTACCCAGTTTTGATGGTCCTGTTCTAATTGCTCTACATCAGTTTCATCGTCACAAGGCTGATTTACATTGAACCACAGTGGATCGACTAACTTTGGTTTTAGGGTTGGAAACAGAGGATAATGAAACATTTTTGGAAATTATATACTATTTTTCATAAACACGAAAGATCTGGCAACACGATTTTTGAATTTGTTTTGGTTAATGTTTATATGTGTTTATGTTACTGTTAGTGGCAGTCGCATGCAGAGGGCGCTTAAACTAAAGCCTTGTTTCTGCCACTGATCTAAAGTCGGGTTCATATTTGACGAACGTTGCCATTCGTTCGCGTTGCTAACCGTTTGTAAAAGGTCGCAAGTAGTGATAATGGCAAGTAATGTGCTCGCGATGCATTATGCATTCGTCGCTGTTCTCACTCGTTCCGCCTAATGCAAACGGGAAGCACATATTGTTGTTGATTGCTTCAAAGAACAAATGTCAACCAGAAAAAAGTGCCTTCCCTAATCTTATTTTTTTTGCAATTTTGGGCTTGATCATTTCCAGAAGTGTATTAAAATCTCTTTCATAAGTCTATGGTTCTCTCTGGTATTTTCTTTCGTCGTTTTATTATGTTGTTTAATGTTTATCAAGACAAACGCGACACTTGACGCAACATTTGATTATTACTCATATTTTTACCAATAAACAAAAACACCCTTTCGTCAATAGTCTAAGGATATTTTATCGTTTAGGATTTTTGAAAAAGCGCTTTGTTGCGAAGATACAGGGCGAAATAATCAGATTGGTTATCTTTGCAATATTACTCGATTCCTTTTGGTTGATGATTTTGCTTGTTTTTTTTTTGTTTTTTATTTTTGTCATTGATGTTTGGCTATCTGGCATGTAATTCTGCCGTTCTCTATCTTGGCTCACTATACGAAAGCCGAGGTGGCTGAAATGCAAGTGATTTATGGACTTCATTACTTAGGCGACTGATATATGCAATTTTTAGTTGGAACGTTGCTAAAATAGCAAGTCCTATTTTTTGGCCTTGTATTTTTGCAACAAAGCACTTTTCCAAAATCACCAAACTATAACATGTGCTTAGATGTGCCAAGGAATGACCTTTTCAATCTTTGCCGCATGTTTAACAAACACCCTGTATATAGGGTGTAATTTATAACAAAAGTTTGTTTTATTTGTATGGAAAACAATCGTAATGTATGAAAATTGATTTGTTTACTTAATTCTAGTGGTATTTATGGTTTTTATGAATTAAAAAATTGGTGTGTCAAATTTTCTTTTTCAAAGTATTCAAAAATCAAGATAAATTGCAAAACGATAGGCTATTTTAATTAAATTGGATACTAAAATCTATTGCGAAGAGGTAACCAAAAAAGTTGTGAAATGCCAAATTCAATGTCACTCTTTATTTTAGTTTTTAAATGTAGTGCACTGCAAATAAACCATGCCGATGCCAAAACCAGAATGGGATCCGACCGACAGTGCTGATGGAGGTACACTTTCCTTCACTGCATCTACACGCATAAAGCGGTAACGACATTGTTAAATAACTTGCCTTTAATTATTTTTAATTTCAGAGACCTTCGCTGTATTTTCAATGATCCGCCTGCGGGGATATTTGTTGTAGGAGACGAATCAAATTTAAGAATAGTTCACGCCATCATATTCGGAGTTGTAGATACCCCTTATGAAGGCGGATTTTTCTATTTCATTTTGAGATGCCCCAATGATTACCCAATACATCCTCCTAAAGTAAAATTAATGACCACTAATGCGGGAAGAGTACGGTTTAATCCAAATTTGTATAAAAGTGGTAAAGTTTGTTTAAGTATTTTGGGGTAAGTATAGTAGGTTATGTATCTGGTGTGAGTGTTCGTGTATGTTGTAGGTACCTACATTTTATTGTATGGTTTCACAATTAACGAATAATTTGTTAGAGTAATGAAGACGGTCCACACCTGTGGCATTTACCTTTTAGGCGATTCTATTTCATTTAAGCTTACTATTATGATTTGTGGGCACACACTCTTAGTGTACATAATGGTGTTAAATCAACACTATACAACATAACTCTCTAAACATGGAAAAATTTCTGAAAAATATTCATCTTTTGATTTCTTAAATGTATTGATATTTTAAATATACTATTTTGGTATAATAAAATTCATATTTCTCTTGAAATTAGTGAAGTAAATTGATTTATAAAAAGAATTTCTTTGAATGTTTGTACATTAATTTTTACATAAGCTAAAATGACACTGATTCAAGCACCACTGTGTGACATATTATTGACAAACGGTTAGCAGCCAGTGTCATATGACACATAGTTATGTGCAAGTATCAAAGATTGCTTTGGAAATATAAAATTGTAAACTAAAAATGGGCTCGTTCATAAGACACAACAGGTACCTCGTAGCGTATCGGTAACAGTTGTGGTCTTATGTCATAATCCATACTTTGAGATGTGTAGCGCGACTAAAAATGGCCGCCTGCTCCGTAAAGAGCGTAAAAGTAGCGACGTAATTATAAGACATAACGGCAACTGTTCCACAACAGTTGTGTCTTATGAACACGCCCAATGTTAAATCAGAGATACTTGAGAGATGCGCTTTCATTTGCACAGTATATCATGTCATAATGTATTGATGAATCCATCTCTTATTTGGGACTCTTGTAGTATTTAGCTTGTCGATTTATTTCTAAATATCGAAATCGAAAAGGTATAAAAATGTTTTTAAGACAGACAAGTGCAAATTTGAAGTTTTAATTTGACCTCTTGCAGTTAGATAGCACACCAATTGTGCTGGAATTTTTGATTTAGGAGTATATTTTGATAAAATTAAATTTTCAGTTGCTACAGTTTGTGAACAATATTTCTCATATTTATAAATTCGCTCAAAAGCTTCTGTCAAATTTAGCCAGTTGATATCATCAATATTTAGATTCACAGGAAGAAGACTAAACAGAAGTTGGATCAAATTCATGTAGTATATGTCGTATTAACATTATGGAAAATATGGAAACAATTTCAACAGTTTTAGCAATGATTAAATGAATAAATACCACCTCTATCACCAAGTAAATATTTATATGTCACTGTATTTTCTTCTAGTGAAGGGTTAGGTATAATTTATAACTGTATCAGAAGTGCCGATCCCATAGAACAGTTTGTGGTCAAATCCAGACAGTTGGTGTATCAATAGCAAGCGCTACATTGAAGTGGTAATTTTTTATTTTGTTGCCCAGACACTAGGTGGCAGTAGTGTAAACAATTTATTTGACTACACCTTACTAAAGAAATTTTAGACACACATTCTACCTTTCATGGTATTCTTATTAAAGAAAACCAGAGAATGCCGATTACTTCCAAAGATATGCCAAAAAACCGAAATTTGCCGATTTGGTTTTTATTTTTTTCTGATGTTATTTGAACAGATACAAAAAAAATAAAAATCATTTTCTCATTGCCACTTTTTGCGCTCTACAAAACATTGTTGACAGATTTTCAGTGCAACGTTTCGTTTCGGAGAAATCGTCATCAACTTTTTTTTAGATGATCAGTGAAAAAAGTACACACGCAAAAAACAAAAGTTGGAAACTGTTGGTTTAACAGGATGCTGCACCCACACACAACATCCTAATCCTGCGAAAATGCGTAAATTCCAGTAACTGGAAAAAAACACTATAAATCTACTTGAAAGACAGTTTCACAGTTAATAAACTGTTTTAAACGAGTATAGACAACAAGCGACAAACACAGACGGACAGACAGAAAGTACAAATGACCAAAATTGAATCAGTTAATCCGAGGGTTAGTCCCTTGACCATTCAGTCCAATTCTGTAACTAACAAGTTTGCAATATTGCTAACTACTTATAGCAAGATTGCTCACACAAAATTCTAGCAATATTATGAGCAATAATAACAAATTTGTCATTCTCTAACTACCAACTTGAGCAATATTGCTAATATTCCTACACTTCGTCAAATTGCTACGAACTAGTCAGAACTTAGTGACAGAGTGTTGTCACTGGGCCTAAAATTAGACGCATTAGGCCTACTGAACTCTTACCACCTAAATTCACAACTGTCTAAACTTTTTAATTGTAAGGTTGGGTTATTTTTGATTTAAGTTTAACCGATTAGGCGCGTTGTGCTTTAACAGTGACGTGCGACTTGTAATTTGTATTTGCTCGCCATGGAAAAGACAGCTACCAAACAGCGTGGCGCTAGAATAACATATAGGAGCAACATTCCATAATTGTGGACAATTTAGAAAACAAGTAAAAAAGTTTTCGCCCTAAGGCGATTAACTAGCGCATTTCCCAATGCCCAATGCGATTATCTTTCCTAGAAGCATCTGTTATTAAAATTTCTCTATAAATAAGAAATAAGAAATTTGGCAGTTGCGCAGTTTGCGCATACGCACGTCTGATGTTTACAATATGCGATATGCTTATCTTTATTAGAGACAGCTATGTTTAAAATTTCAAAAAAATATCTCTATAAAAAGGGAAGTTGACATTGCGCCGTTTAATCGTCAAGATTTTGCTTGCCTCAGATGCCAGAGTTATACGCTACCCAATGCAAAAAGAACGAACTAAATATCTTGAACTGTAGGAGTAGTTAAGGCCTCGGACAGACGGACAGAGAAAGTGGCTGCAATAGCGCACCCAACTTCTTTGTAAAATGCGCTAAAAATGCCATGTTAGTTCATGAAAGAACTGCTCCAAACAAACGATATTAAAAACTATATGAATTATGGGAAGAATTGAATCTTCAACAGCGTTTAAAAATTCGTATTTAAACAATCCACCTGCCATATTTGAACTTGCTAAGACTTAACAACTGCACTTTACCTATTGCTAGGGTCAAGCAATTGAATTGTTAAAATGTTAGGCAACATTGCTAGGTTTGTCAGTACAGAATACCACTTTTAACAAATATTGCTTATCTAGCAATTACCTTCACTATTAGCAAGTTGCTAAGATTATTTTAAGTTACAGAATTGGACTGATTGTCTACCTGACTACCTATTACATATACAATGCTATTACTGAACGCAGAATTGGAAAATTTGAAACCGTTCGCAAATTATCTTGTACACAGACGGACGAACGGAGGGAAAGAAAGTTCAAAATCAAGAAACGAGCTTGGTCGCTTGTTGATAAGTCTAATCTGCTCAAAAACTCTGACAAATACGTATCTAAAAGATCTACAAAGTGTCTTTTGTTTACACTGCTGTCACATCTGTGTGTAAGGTGGGTTGCATAACTGTCAGGCATATCAGTGCATTGACGACTTGAAAATAGGAGATTTGTATGTTCAGAGTTAAAATTTACGCACTGTATATTTAGACAGTGCGAATACCTATTCTTGGTTATAAATAAATATTATAATAAAATTATTTAGGCCCAATTTCAGTTTGTTAGTAGTTTGATTAGCCGTTAATTTAAAAGAAAAACCACTGCTATAGCACTTGATTTGCTGAAGACTTTTCCATTAAAAACATGGGGTTTCAAAGGGATATCAAGTTATGACTATCATAGAGTTATGTATAACTGGTAATTTAATTTTATTTGCTATGTACAGTATTGGTTATATGGTTACAAGTCTTTGGGTCAAATTCAAATTGAATAATGCTATTGTTTTGTTTCAATAATATATGGCCTACTGCATATGTTCACAGAAATCGAGAATTTTCTTTGAAAGTTTACAGTTTAATACTATATTATGAATGGTATAACAAAAATTGCAAAGGAAAAGGTTTTGTACTTGCGTAGAAAAAAATAAGTGGGTTATATTTTTGTCTGATAAATGGCGAAATATTCGTAAAACAAATTAAAATTCAAAAACTGTAATCAACGTCAGTGATTTCTATGAAACAACGTATAAAATCCCGATAAAATGCTTTATTTTTCCATTTTTTAAAAAATCTTCTTATACTAATTAAAGCTCAGACGATTATTATCTGAGACACTAATGTCATATATTTTTGAAAATGTGTGCACGTGAATGATTCAGTAAAGTCAAATATCAGCATTACAAATTTGCACATAAAAAATCTAATGTCATAAGAGCTAACCAATTTTTTTTCTCTGCCTTTTTATCTAATGCGTGTTCACACTCAATATGTAATGGGAGATGAGAAGTTTCAAAAAAACAATGATAAATTTATAGTTAAATTTCACACATTGTAAACGTAATCTATTTTCATTGCAGAACTTGGGAAGGGCCTGCCTGGAGCCCAGCGTTGCAACTATCAAGCTTATTAATTTCAATTCAAAGCTTACTTTGCGAAAATCCATACTTCAATGAGCCTGGATTTGTTAAGGTATCATAATTGATAATGTAGAACAATTAAGTTTTTTAAATTACTTAGGGCCGATTCTACAATGCAGGTATATACCAAGAATAAGCTATACTTAGAATAAGTGTCAACCAATGGGATACATGTTGCTATGGCAGTTATTCCAAGGATATCTTATTCTGCATAAGGTGTAATTGTAGAACCCGCCCTTAGTATACTAGATTCAATAATCAAAGGTTTTTTGTGTGACTGGTGTATTGTTTTCAAGATGTGGCTATATATTTGCTCAGAACCATGAAATAAAGAAACATGGGCTCTTATTTATTTGGTTTGCTTGTTCTCAAAAGTGCAACTGTGACTTTTTGTTATACTATGTTATACGAATGGTCACGTTTAAGGCTCTTTTTTGGAATCTGTAAAGAGTCTTAACATCAATACCTCGCAAGGGAAAATTGATAACATATTTATATTGAAACGTCAAGTTGGAGTTTATTTGAGAAAGTGTGAAGTGCTAATTCAGAATCATCTTATAAAGTGGCAAGTGCCTCTTGAATTATACCAAAATAAATTGTGTAGGTAACTGCATAGATTGATTTGATTGAACTGCACTAGAAAGGGTGAAATAGATGAGTTACTTTTTTTAAATAAGACTGTAGAATAAATGAACTCTTCAAAGAAAGTACTGTTTATTATTCTATATAAATAAAAAATTTTTTGTTTTTTGAAATAAAAAAATTAAAGAGCATTGAAAGTTGCCATTAGTTTTGCTCTTGTTGAAATATTAACGCATGCAAAAAATAGTTCGTAAAATCGAAAAACCGATTTTTTCAAAATACGTATTTAAAAAACCCAAATATTTTTTGGTGATTTCTAAATGCTATCTTCTTAGATCTTTGATTGCGCAACTTTTCGCCCACTTATTTTTTAAAAGTGAACACTGCACTAATACTTTTTTATTTATTTAGGAGCATGTACCGGGCGACTCCAAACGATATAACGAGTATATTCGACACGAAACATTGCGAGTTGCGGTATGCGGAATGATAGAAAACGAATGCCATTTAAATATTCCAAGCAAACTACGGGAAATAATGGAGAAAACGTTTCTAGAGTTTTACGATCAGTATGTTGAAATCATAAAGGCTAACATACATTTACATGGGACGGAATTGATCGTACGCATTCTATAATTTTAAATATAGCTAATTAAATTTATCCTTTCCAATAGGATCCGTTCAGTAAGGGTAGGTTTGTATGCCAATACAAAGCCTTGTTGACTAGGTTGGAGAAAATTAAAGGCAACTTGATGCCACAAAGTGAATCTGTTTCAAAACAGGCATCTTGTAGTTCGGCAGGTGATAATGGAAACGAAGGCAATCTCACGTAAGTTTCATGAAACTGGGACATACATTTGGATCATTGCAAGCTGTGGTTCGTCAACTATTGTATTGCTATTGAGATTGATTTGTTTTGTTATACTAATTGTTATTATGCCGTGTTGTACTTAAATCATTCCAACCTTTGCATGTATTCAGACTATTTTGGTGTACTAATGTGCGCAGTCTCAAAGGTTAATAAGAATAAACTACTAGTTATTTTTGTATTAAAATTTATTCAGTTAGAGAAATGTTTTATTTCATGTTCTACACAATTCACACAATAATATTATATGTTTAGTTGGTTGGAATATTCAATACCGCCACATAATTTCCAACATCCAATTTTCGTTTACATTGATATTTCATATGTGAAGGTTCATCTTGCACGCTTTAAAAGGCCGTCAGCCCCTTTAGCAAAAGTAATGCAATGCTTGTTGTAATATTTTATTACTTATATAGTGTTCATTGACAACAAACTGATTCCATAGACTTCCTTTTACATTCACCAGTAGATCCTTTCATGAAAAAAAGGCCAGTTTATAATCACATTTGTATCTAAGTTGAACCTGCTTGACGTTGTAGGGTAGATGCTCGATAATGGTTTAAATCCAGGATCGGGCATGGAAGCTGTAAAAGCATATCGGTGGATTGGATGGATTCAACAGCCTACACTGAATCCACACCCACTTAAAAATAAACTAGAAACAATTGAATATTACAGTAATCAGAATACTTCAATAATGGACCCAATTACATTTCTGAATGTGTTATGAATGTTTCATAATCATCACAATTTCGATGTGCAGTTTGCAGTGCGTACCGAATCACTAGAGTCCTTATTTTACCTCAAAGTTCAGATGTAATATGTGTAGTGACAATTGCCTATATAACGGGCGATCAAAAATGAGATGCTGTCGAGTCGCCTTTGGAAGTTCAAGTTAATACGATTTCCCATGTAAACAAAAATTGATATTGTTTAAGAAGTAGATATAGGGATTTAGGTGTATTGTTTTTCCCTGTCTACGTTTAAATGGTTTAAATGTCTATGCGTATGTCTATTAATATTAATTAGTTTGGTTTGGCTTTACAGAAAATAAATCTGTTACAGGCATTATACCAACGGACAATATCAACTTTTTCTTCAGTTGAATACATCACACGAACGGAAATAAAACACAGAAGCCAAAGGGACAATATTCAAATTAATATGACAGCCAGATCTTGATTTGTTTTTAGAAGTTATTTTGGTTGAATAAAATTTGGCGTCTTTCAGAAGAAATGTTGTTATCTAAAAGTAGACATTGGGAAAACAATACATGTAAATTGCTAGGTCTACTTCTTAGTAAATATTACTGTAGATCGTTTATTCTACAAAAAAAAAGGAGAAGTATTCCTCAAATGTAATTAGTGAAAATAAAACTTACACGTGAGGAAGACTATGTTTTTTTCAATCAATTCCAATTATTCAGATAGATAGAAACAAATAAAATTTTCTGCAAACAACCTACACAGTAAACGATTCAATGGTGAGGTTGATAGCAAATCATAGGGACGTAATAGGAGGAAAAAGTGAACATACACAGGATGAAACAATTAAGTATGTAAAAAATTGGGTTGTAGAGGAAACCAAATTGTTGTTGTACAAGCAATCGGCATAGTGAAATTTGATTAAAGCCGTTAAATACTCAAAATTTTAAATCCAAACAAGGGTTGTCCTCTCACTACCACGAGAGTAGCTCTAGGGTCTTCATTGATTACAAGGAAGGAAAAACAGCTACTGAAAACCTTCCAGACTAAACTTACTTCCTTATTTTTTTTCCGATTTGCATTTTACGATTACATTATAGTCGCTCTCAACTTTTATGACAACCCCGGGTAATTTTATTTCCCTCATGTTCATAATTTTACATCGATATTTAAAATATTGGGGCTACCATCTTCACGAAAATAAAGGTATTTGTTAAGGCTGTTATGCAACGGAGCTCACACTATGGTCTCACGGCCGAAGAATACACATATTATGGTTAGAATTAGATAACACTACAGGCCAGGCGCCTGCCATTTTGGCTGAGACATGACTTGTCTCATTATCATATAGAGTTGTGTTTGGCGGTTTCGAGATCCATCCTATAACAGTATTCAAATATCCTAGATATTCAGTTATAATTGCATAAGAGGTTTGTATTTTATCGAGTCAATTTGGGTTGTTAATGTAATGAAAATCTGTTGCCTAGCAATTAGACGAGAAAAACTTGTCAACTATTAAAAATGCGACACTGTATTAATTGAAAGCATTTTAGCTGAGACAAGCATACATGCACAAATTTTCATAAATATATATTTTTGTTAGTTTTTTGTATAATAATATTCAGTTTGGCATTGTGTACTCTTCATATGCTTTACAATATTGGTCATTTATTAATCAGGTGTTCAAATTTTTCGTTTCAATTTCTGTGACAGCATTATTTTTCAATCTGGATAATTACATACCTAACCTTTAAGAAGAATAAGCCGGTCAGTTCTACACTACTATAGACTTTCTTAATAGGAGACCGCATTCAGTACCTATACTTATATTCTTACAAAAAAATAAAGAATGAGTATGTAAGCTCTGTAATTGTTTTTATTTTAAAAACGGGTGGAGGTAGATTACCCCCACCCATCAGGTTCTGTGATTTTAAAATATTACATGCCATGGTGTGTATATTTATTATATTGGTATTTAGTGTGCACTCACACTACACTTATATACTACACTACATATTAAAGATAAGCATTTTACTTAACAATAACCATTCAATTAGTGTGGAAGAGCCTCATGTTATGTTCCCTCCTTTTATCTAAATAGATTTCCAATAAGAAAGAAATAAAAGCAAATGTCCAAAGAACCAATACATATCCAAACAAAAATGTTAAATGGGAAACTTTTATAACAGGCATTTCGTCGATGACAATTGTTTTACGTTCGTAAAAGATATCCCGTTTCCACTTGTCATATATACCCGATTCCATGATACTGTAAGTAAATTTCTCAAAATGATCCTTGAACGGGAACCCCTTTTCAAAAACCATTTCAATGGGTACTGTAACTTGATGATTGTCAAAGCAATACACAGAAACATTAACACTATTATCATAATTTAATATATAATTTATGTGTAAATATGGCATAAATAGAGCAAAATCTTCTGCATTTGAAGCTTTTGAAATGCATGCGGTACCGTCGTGACAAGACTCCCACCTGTCGGATGTTTCATCTGCACCCAGGTATTCAATTGTACCAGGTATATAATACAGTTTAAACTTTGCATTATTTATATGGTGTACGCTGGAAATTTTCTGTTCCTGCTTCGGTTTAGTGAGGACACTAAATAAAGCCGATTCATAAGCGACATTGACATGCAATGTGAATATCACATAAAGCATAAACAAGAATCTTACTTTAAACGTTCTCGGTTGTACATTTACAGTTTTATTAAGCATAGTAGCGACAATATTTTGCAGCACACTTGCATATGTTTTGAATGAAGTCGATTCGTTAGGAGCACTCACCGAAAGCAACCAAATTGCTGTCGAGACCGCAAAATGCACGATTTGTAAAGATATCCAAACGTGAGCTTGCATTGCCAAAAACACATTGGTGCGTGTGGGTAAGGATACGAATGGCACGCACCATGTGAACGATTCCTGTACATTATAGGCAAATGTGTCATATTTTGTGTGCAGTTCATTCTTTGCATAATAAGATCCAATACCTATTTGATGAGTGCTTTCCAGGTTGCGTTGATCACCTACTGTATATTCTACCGAAAATTGTGTATGTCTAGCTAATGTGTTCACGATTAATATTTCGAGACCATTGCTAAACGTCATGTTGCTTGGAGGTAATACGTAAGGTGGCCATATCATTGTCTGAATTTGAAAATGGCAACCTTTCAGACTGGAATGGTTGTGTATAGCTTGATATTTTTGAATAAAATTGTTGTACGAACATTTTCCACTCATCAATAATGCAGACGATTTGCAGCCTTGGTACACTAAGAACTTTGAAGATGCATCTTCCGTATATATGACGACTATTTCACCGATGTTGTACATTCTTAGTGTCATTTCCATATCTGATAATGGTAGAGCAGATACGAGTAATTTCCGACCTTGTGATGAATGCACTATCTTGTTAAACTCCTGTAATTTGTCAGTTTCATGTATATTACCAGTTACTCCAGGAGTTTCTGTGGTGTCGTTTCCATTATGAATGAATAAACTGTGGTTACTGATATACAAATCTTCCAAAAAGTAACTGGTAATGGTTTGTATAGGCCACACTGCAAGGACATCATTCTTTGTAAATATTTGTCGATGGACTACCTTAAAACATTCGAGCGTGTGGTCATAAGTTGCTACTGCATAAAATTGTGAATGACACACGGAAATAAGACTTAATATAGACACAACAGTTTGTGGGATGGATGGCATTGTGTTGTGTTGTCCAAATAAGTGATCCGAGTTGGTATACATATATAAGGTGAACATTGATTTTTAATTATGAATGGCAATCATATGGTAAAAGGTTTTGCAAATTATCGTTAAGTAGTGGGTATATGACTAACATTACATAAATATTGTAAATATACGATAAAGCATATTGCCTAACATTACTCCTTTTTAAACATACTTATGATACAGATGGTCTAACAAAAGATTACAGGATACCATTGAGAAAGCATAAAGTATACGTCAACAAGGTTGTAAGAAGGCATTAAAATAAGTGGGTAATTGGGAATAGTACTGATTATTAGCTGTCGTATTATCCTATTGGAGTGATAGCTACACTAAATATCAAGATGAAATAAGGTAAGTACCTAAATATTGTGTAATTGGAAGATTTACAAATATTGCATTTTCAAATGTTATGCAAGGTACTTGGAAATTTCTGACAATAATACTTTTTCCAATTCAATTTAAACAAGTTATAAATCAGAATATCATGATGAAAGCGCATTTTTGGTAATACAGTATTTTATTAGTAGTTTCAAATATTTTCGATCTCACAAGTAATCTAACTCAAAATAGACAGTGTTGGGGGCCATGAACGAAAGACAGAATATTGGTAGGCCACGGAAACTTTTCAGTGGGACACGAAAATTCACTTCTACAATATCTTACTCAAATATTAAAATTAAATAAATGTACCAAAAATGGTCAGTACACAAATTATACCATCCCTTATCGTTGTTTGTGTTATCTCAGTGTACCTTTCCTAGAAAGAAATAAATCCTAATCACCACTTTAAATTTAAATGTTTATAAATGGCACAGACACGATACCGGAAAAAGTTCTTTTTTCAAACACGACTAACACACCCCTCTACTGTCTACCAAAATTATTTTTCTGTAGTTTTTCTACAACTTTCAAAATTTGTGTCAAACCAAAATGAGCTTGAAAATGATTTCTTGATAACTAAAAAATAACTCAAATTAATTCTGATCTAATTCTAAAGTGTTTAAAATATTGAAATGCCACATTTAATGGCCTATTAAACGAGTATACATTTTTGTGCAGTCTAAGAGACGTAAATTTCAAAAATCCCCCCCCCCTCCGTCTAACGCGGGGGGGGGCACAGAGATAAATAACATTCACAAGTAGGCCACCAGTAAAAAAAGGTTGGGAAACACTGGACTAGAGCCTGCACATGTACACTATAACAGAAAGCTTTTAGTGAAAATTTGAAGTCTCTAGCTATTGTAATTGCCAAGATCTCAGCCGGACAGCCAGTCAGCCATAACGAATATAATTGCGTCTTTTTTTCAAAAATACGCTAAAAACGCGAATTATGTTTTTGTAGTACCTATAGTCATTATTATGTTAACTCCTCTTGATTAAACAAATATGTCGTAACTGGTTTCACAAACAAATGAGACACAAAATGTTTACGTGTAGGAAGGTAGGTATATGTAATTCAAACTGTTGACGAAGATAATACCATTGTATTTATAAAATATACCACTATGATTAACTGTGAATATAGTTTAAGAACTGGGCCGCGACCTAAGGTAGCAAATTCTGGTAGGTGTGTGCTTTAGTTATAACTGTTTTAATGAATGGAAAGTACTTGAAAAAATGGGTTGACATATCTAGGTGTCAAAAACAAACTAATCATATAATACCCTTACAAAAATCCTCAAAATTGTATTTTAATAATAGTCTTTATTATTCTGGCGAGGATCGGCATAATGCTGTTTTTCCTTACCAGCACGAAATAAATGATACACAAAGAAAACATTAAATGAAAAATACAGATTAGTTTTACCTACTTAATAATGCAAAAAAAAATTTCTTTTTCTTTTTCAACAACCATAAAATTCCTACCACGAAAGGGCGCACCCCTACTTGGGGGGATACTTGCAATAATGCTTATTGATTGTAATGGAACTCTACTTAAAAAGCATTTTCCCACCACCCGCAGCCAAGGAATTTTTGGAACCGAATTTGCAGACTTGAATAGCATGATCGACATATAATGTGATCATTTAATCATAGTATCGCCTTAAATAGTTATTTGCAACATTTTCAATTAACTATACATGCGAAATTAGATCACTCACTAGTAGGCGGGGGACACTATAACCCGGCCCAATTTTCAAATGAGTATAACTTTTGCTTGAAGTTATTTTATAAAACTGTTCGACCATTTTGTTCCTTAACTCATCAAGTATGTACACAACAAATTTCGTGGAATTCTCTCCATTTCCGTTGTCCGCCCAACAATAGCAGTGGAACTTTTTTTCCGAATTTTCAAAAACTAATTCCAGATTCGTCATTTTCATGTTTAAAAACCCCCAGATATCAAATTTCGTCGAAATCAGAATTTTTTTCGCACCCCCAAGTAGGGGTGCGCCCTTTCGTGGTAGGAATTTTGAAATATTTTTTTCTCAAAATCGGATAGGGCATACCCGAAAACCTATTCAAAGACGTGCCACCCATCTTTGTAACTCTTATGGTTGCTGAGAAAAAAATTAAAGAAGAAATCCAAATTTCGTGGTCTTTGGGGGTGGGCTCCCAAACGAAGCACGTTGGGCCCTCGGTTTATTTGGAAAAGTGCTTGTCCTGATCCCCTCTATCACCCAATTTTTTTTACATGCGGGCATGTAACACCCTGTATACTGGTATACAGGCAGACTTAAATTCGAGGGCCACCATGTGGATCTAGAAAATTGTAAAATATTTGGCAAAGTTGCGTATTCAAAGTGCCGCCGTTTTGAAACTGAACAAATTCAGACTACTTTTGGAGATATCATGAAAAAAACGAAACTGCAAAATCCTTTTTATTCTTTACCTAAGTTATTTAAAAATCATATTTCAAAATAAATGACACATTATTATGGCCACTCTTTTTCGTCTACAAGATGCTTAGATTAAGAAAGTCCTTGTCTAAGATAAGCTGCTATTATAGTTTTAAAATGTAAGTGATGTTTCGTCTCCGGCAAGTTCGTTGAAAAAAGTTGTAGAAGTGTAAGTGTAAAAATATACAAGTTCAACATGTTCGAGCATTTTTTCTGTAGAATTGAATTTCAAGATCAAATTTGAGCTATCCTTTCGATCAAAAAAACTCAATTTTCCAACTTAAATGGTTCATAACAAAAAACTGACCACAAAGTCCATCCGGCACCTTTGAAATTCGGATTCAGCGACCCAGAAAACAAACTAAGCTCATGGTACCGAGGGCACCTCGCAAAAATACGCAAGTGCCACCAGCGCCCGGACTAAATATGAATTGAATCAGTAGTGTCAATTTTCACTTGTTTCTAAAATGATATTTCATTTGTTTTATAGTTTGGAATATCTAGAATCTAGACAAAAAATTGGACTTGGATTGCACATTTGCTCCCCTGGGAGTCAACACCTGGAACTAAAATTTTTAAGTTTTCTCGTGTATAACAATATCTGTAACCCAACTACCTTAGTTCCTAACATTCAGAGATGTAAGTAAGGATCTATTATTCTGATTTGGCGTAGACATACTAATTGTACTTAATAAATTACTAGAATTCAGTTCACTAGCGTTGTAAGGGAAAACAAACTTCTTAAATAGTTTTTTATTGTAGGTCAAGTTTTATACAAACTTAAAATAAGTAACGCTAACGAAGCAAGATTTTTAACCTTGTTTCTGCGCTAATTCTCTCGCCTTCGCCTTTTCAATTTTAGCAATACGTGCAGCAGATTTCGACCCAAGAAGACCGCCGCCCCAGTGACGTCTGATTTCATCGCCACGATCATTGAAGTTCGTTTTGATTACTTCCAACAATTTTGTAAAGTTGGCACGATCGGCGGCATCTACTTGAGTTAAAGCGACCGAAGTACAAGTTTTGCGTCTTACTAGCAAACCTAAACGTGCCTTTCCCTTGACAATGCAGTAAGGTACACCCATTTTGCGACAAAGTGCAGGTAAGAAGAGAACAAGCTGGAAAACGAATTAAAATTACCATATGGTTACAAATGCTTCGTGGAACAGTCTACAATGTGCATTCAGACATCAAATTACTTCAATTATAATCAGGTGAAGAGATTCATTTTCATCATTAGAAAAATGACACATGAACCAAATGAAAACCTACCTCAATAGGATCAACATCATGAGCAATTACAACTAATTGAGCCTTTTTTTGTTCTACCAGAGTTGTAACTGTGTTGGTTCCAGCCCGTAAAGTAATAGGACGCTTTGTGGGTTTATCTTCTTTCTTCGCTACTTTCGCCTCAGCACGCACCTTTAGACGTTGTTTCTTCTGGATCTTTGTCTCTGGACGATACTTTTCCAACACTTTGAACAGCTGTGTTGCTACAAATATCAGAGTTACCATCGACAACAAGACGATTAACGTTGAAATATTAAATATAATTCAGAATTAAGTGGTAATGAATTTTCTTCATAACCTTTCGGTTAGCAAATACAAAGGTCATCACGGTTTTTAAAAAATTCGACTAACACTAACAATAATTACCTGTTTGCTTATCCAACGTCTGAGTAAATTGATTAATTGGCGGTGGAACTTTTAAACGCTTCTGAAGGATGGCTTTTTGTCTTTGAATTCTAATGTACTTCGGCCACCTCACGAACCTAGACAAGTCACGTTTGGGGCGAATGTCCTGACCTAAAAATTAAGCTCGTACAAAGAGATCCTGAGGATTTACGTTACATAAAAAAGTAAATGTAAGTCAGATTTAAAAAGCTCGTTTTATGATCAACACAGTGCGTCTGCTAATATTTATACATCATGATGAGACAAGTGTTTTAAGAATAAATAAGTGAAACATACCGATTCCAAAGTTACGAGGTCTTTTTTCAAATAAAGGGTTGACTACCTTTTTAACTTCAACCTTCTTTACTTCGAGAGGAGCTGCTGCTACCTTCTTTCCCGGCTTCTTCTTGCCCTAAAAAACACGTTTTGTTACGATTGTTATAAGAACAGTTTAATTAAAATTCCCTTGCAGGATCAGATAAGGTGTATGGTTTTCAGCACACACTTTTCAGAGTAGCAAATACAACAGTCATCATTATACAAATATGTGAATGGTCAGAACAAAAATCTTGGCAGATAATTCAAGAAGAGGATATTTACCTTTTTAGGCACCATTTTATAATGATGAAGAGTGGATGATCACTTAAATAAAATAGTATTTCTTATTTCATGTAACGTCACGGCGTATGAATACACAGCCGGACATAAAAGAGCAATGCGCACAATCGGAAATGGGGACTAATCGCTAAAGTTGGCTACACTGTAGTTTCAATTTGTAAATAATGGTCGCATTCAAGGTGACTTCATAACGGTGGCGACACTCCGATCGTTTTATCATTGTATATGTATTACGTTTTATCATTGTATATTTACATAAAAACCGCTCACAGTTGTAAAAAGGAAAATGAAATTGGGATAAGGGAGAATTATTTTCATGGTAAAATCTATTTTTATGTTACAAATTCTCAGACAGCAGATATCGCAAAGATCCTAATCTTTCTAGTCATTTTAGGCCAAAAATTACATGTTTTCAAAAATCTGTCATACAAGAAGGGAATCGGTATACAGTGTGTCTCAGTTAGGACGCACCATAGGGAAACGGCAATGTATTTTTTTGCGAAGGATGTACGGGGACTTTGAAATTGGCGTTTAACGTACTATTCCAATCTCTTTCTAGCATCAGGAAAGCGCAATAACGTACGTTGAACACTAACATCAAATACATATCAAAGACCTTCGCCTCTGTTTGCCTATGGTGCGTTCAACCTGGGACAAACCGTTTATACTTATTCATTGTTGCTTTCTCATTGAAATTTTATAGTCCCCAAAAAAAGTTGTGAGCAAGCCGACCTAGTCTACTTGGAAAAAATGTCTTTTGATAGCTTCTACCATTCGATTGCTAGCGCATTTTTTCAAATTTATTGATAAAATCGTAGCTTTTAATTCCATCTTGGCCTTTTGGAGTTCTTTTAAGAAGCGAAAGTCAAGGAAAGTAGAAAACACTTTAATGAACACACGAACAAAAATATGAAGCAGTAATGACCAAAAATGAAACAGTTCAATTAGCGTTTTGTGTTTCTACGACTACTATTCATGGCAACGAAAAACTACCTATCTGAAATGTGACTACAAAATTTCTTGATCTTTTTTCGTTAACTTTCGAGAAATAAAATTAGATTATAGGTGCAACATACTTACCTGTATATTTAAAGATAACTAAATTCTGAAAATGTTTAAGATGATTTTGAGTACGGTAATAGGGTTAATCTTAAACCTCACCACGCAATCGCATCACTAGGGAAGGGGGGGGGGGGTAAAACGTTGCTAAAAACATCATGTGATTAACGCATCAGTGGAGGCATAAACTGTACTGGGTTATTGGCAAATTATAAAAGTTACACTAAAGAAAATATTTTTATTTTATTTCAAAAACAGAACTGTACAATGTCATGGCGGTGTACGAAGTACTTTTGGACGAGATTGGAAGACAAAGTCGTAGCAATGGCAATCATCTTGGCATGGACATGCATGATTCCCTATAATGTAGTTTGAAGGCAATTGAGCTGGCATGAGTACACGTACACATACCTAAGTGGATTGTACTTGATAATTCTTTCAAAGAAAATTCAACAGTATTACCAGCCCTCATTTCATCAGTATCCATACACGAGCACGATCTATAATAAATTTAAAATCAAATGTATCATATCAATTAAGCAGTCATTATACATTTTTTACGTTGTTAAATTGTGTTTAGAATAATTTCTAAAACACTGTGGGCGACCGGTATTATGCAATAAAGTTTGTTGATGGGAAAAAAGTATGTTATAACTCGAAGTTGTTCGCTTATTACTAAATTATGAATGTAATTAGATGACCTTCGTGATAGTGGTGGTCTACGTGTCGGTTGATGCGCACAGTGGGAAATGGAACTGATACAAGATAACAAATCGACTAAATTAACAAGCTTCCCACATCAACTGTGTAAGTGTAGGTATATTCTAGAAATTCAATAACATACACTGGTTACACACAATACACATTTGGACGCATAGATTGAGAATTCTATTTTGTCACAAAGTGCTTCGCGATAGTGCTAGTGTTTAATGATATTAACTGTATAGATAAATATTGTAAAAGGCGACTTAAATATAATAACTTACACTTACCGACCGCATTTTTCCAATTGCGTAACACTGTTTTGCAAATTATCACTTTTCTGACATCGGTGGCAGTGGTACAATTGAGTGTTATAATGATTGTCAGTTTCGTCTTGGTTATAATTATCGTTGTCTTCTTGATTTGGCAGATTTATTGTTCGACGGATGGCGTTGTAACAATCACACGTGTACTTGTTTTCACGATATAAGTGACTAGGAGTAGTGTATTGGTCTCTGTAGCACATGCGAACATGTCCTATATCTGAAATGGCAGTAGTTTGCGGCGACGTACTTTCCTTCCGTATAAAATGTTTCGTTTTTGGAAAAGAGCGTGGACAGTACCTACAGAATTTGCCCATTAGACCATTTTGCGGTTTCTGAAAGGCTTGTGTAAACGAAGGTGGTGCTCGATGAAGTTTTTTCATTTGCCGAGGTTCAAAAATGGCGTTTCTAGTTGGAGTATAGTAATGCTGTTTTGTTTCTTCACAATAAGAAACGTCTGCAAATTTTGTATCATCTTCAATAGTGTCAGGTTCCGTAGCGGTCAGTTTCTCTGTTACGGATTTTGTAAAAGGCGTCATGGGTTTTTGTAAATGCTCCATCGACTCCGATAATCTATACTTCGTAATAACAGCGAGTGCTATTTCTGTTGAAGTACTATTTTCTAAATCGTGTTCCAAAATATCAACTTCGGCGTTGGATTCAATAGTTGAATTGCAATCACACCCTTGTTTGGGTACACCTTTCAAGTGTAATTGCAAAATATGCTGAAGTTCTGTCTTTGTTTGCTCATCCGAATTGCTAATATGGTAGTCCAATAATTTCGACAAACTTATTCTATGTGCTTCTTCATTGATAACGGGATCAGATAAAAGACTGTACATAGTGCCGTTAATGTAAGGCATACAAAAGCTGTATCTTATATCTAACAGGTTTACTAGAAGGCTTATAACATCTTTAGCGTATGGATGCAATCGATCCCGCGCATCTTTATGTAAGCATAAGTTCATTAACAAGGCAGTTGAATTTTCCATGCAGTAATGCGAAATTTTCGAATGAAGGTTCATCAGGAATGTCAGCAAGTATTCTACAAAACCTAAAAAAATGTAATATTCATAATCCTTATATCAGTAGCACATACAGGGTGGTGACTTGCGCAACGCATCATAGGAATTTCAATGTAAAATTCATAACATGCGATTATTGGCTCCCCAAATTATTTTAGAGCAAAAATGTATTAAGTTTTTTTGTAGAAAAAAATTTTTTACGTCAATCAACCATATTAGTTTTCAATTTTTTGTATAATAAAGACGGAAAATTGGAAAATAAAACCCACATCTTTTTCAATAATCTGTGACGCCATGGAATTTTATAATACAAAAACTACGTCAATATCCGTCATGCCATGGAATGTCTGCTATAAAACAAATCAAATTCTATCAAAAAGTATTATATTTAGAACAGCGAATTCAACATAAAGAAAGACCAAATTACTTAAAACGGTTTCCTAATATAACAAGTTACAATAAATGTTCGAATAAGTCACTATTAACTGCAATACAGTAACCAAGTCGATCATAAAATCCATTTCGAACTGCTGCTAATTGATAACTGGATATCTAGCTTTTTGTTTTAGAAAATTCCATGGCATCGCAGATTACTGAAAAAGATGCGGGTTTTATTTTTCCAATTTTCCGTCTTTATTATGTAAAAAATTGAAAACTAATACGGTTGAGTGACGTAAAAAATTGTTTTCTACAAAAAACCTTAATACATTTTTGCTCTAAAATAATTTGGGGAGCCAATAATCGCATGTTATGAATTTTACATTGAAATCCCTATGATGCGTTACGCAAGTCACCACCCTGTATATTTAATTATGACATTGACTATAATATAATTTTTAATCAATGAGGGATGAGACAACACTTTTAATGAAAGCCCCTCCCCTCCTTCAATTTCAAGAAAAGGTAAAATTTTCAGTTTTGATTGTTCTGCACACAGAATATTTCTAAAAGCAATATTTTTGACGATTCGCGAAAACATCGTGCTATAGTTACGAACAGATGGCATACAGACAGACAAATAAAATAGCTATTTATACAATAAGTTGCGAAATGAGTGTCTTTTAGGCACGTCTAGTGACTAAAAGACATCGTTTCGTAACGAATTATACTTATACAAGATTTTTTGTGAAAGCGGTGAATTTGATAGTTTTATAATTTTATTAGTCTTTTTATAAACATTTTGAAAAGTAGGCAGTCAATCTGATTCTAAGGCAATGTTTATGCATTATTTAATGTCAAGTGTGACGTTAAGGTTGAACGTATCGTGTTGCCGTCTTTCCCGCAAAGTTTTGCGAAAAAATTACTTCAAATGAGTGATATTGACGAGTCTTTGGATATTGAACAAGCTGCTGAAGCTGCACTATCCACGTTAGTACCCGAAAAATCGAAACATTTATACGAAAAGACCTACGACAAAATTGATTTTAATGTTTCATTTTTATTTTTAGGTACTAGTGCCTAAAACTTTAGCATTTACGCACTAGTGCCTAAAAGAGTGTCATTTCGAAATTCTAATCGATATCAAAATTTGTCAATATCGAAACGCTTTCACAAAAATACGTTTTCACGTCAGATGCGCATTAACTTACCCGAGTTAATCATGTACACTCGCTGCTTATACCTCAAACTAAGTTTTTGGGCAGTAGCTATCAACATGTCTCGTGTAGAATCATTGATAGTCGAGTTTCCATGTTTCAGAATAATTGACAATAAATACAACAGATGTGCTTCACTTTGACACATGTAGTCTCGTCCAACTGTTAGAGAAGCAATTGTGTTCATTAATTTAGACAGTTCTTCCTGAAATTAACACCAGATTAAATTAATTCCATAATAGGACACCCCGCAGGAGGCTCCATAAGAGATACGATCTGTGTAAAACTAAGAGTCAAACCGGTCAAACTTATTTTCAATTGTGGTGCTAATTTGGGAGTGATTTTTACTTTTTCCTTGTCGCCGAAAAATAGAAACCTACAATATCTTCTTTGTAACGCGCTTAGTTTTGAAGCTAGTGATTTTTATAAACGACAAAATAGACGTTTTTTTAGAACTGGAGGGAGTTTAAATCTGGACAGGAAAACTAAACACAAGATTCAAGCAGGGCGGTTGAATTTGATAAAGAAGTGTTGACAGAAGGATTAGAAAGGGATTAGAGAAAGAATGTGCGGCCAGCCATGGTTTATGGCAGAGAGGGTTCACGAAAAGAGATTGGAGGTGGCTTAGATGAGAATGCTGAGGTGGCTCATGAGAAAAACTAGGAAAGACAGGATTCGGAATGATGCAATAAGAGAGACGCGCGAAGTAACTGAAGTCTCAAGGAAGGTTCAAGAGCGAAGACGGCAATGGTTTGGAGATAAACAATGAGAATGGAAGAGGGGTATGTTGGAAGAAGGATGCGCAGAATGCATAGGCAAAAAGAAAAAAAGGTGGAGAGGAAGAGCGAATAGAATAGAAGGTGGAATTGTCTTGAAGAGAGAAGTGGTTGGATGAAAAGGATATGGAAAAAAGCTATAATAGGCCCTAGTTAGATTTACGAAAATTCCGAACGTTGTCTTTCTGAATGACTTATCATGCTTTGCTCAAATCAGTCACAATATAATGGGACCATGACAAATGGCAGTACAGTAGATCTATGTACGAAATCTAAATTCCTTTCAATTTGGCCAACATTCAGATAACATAATCAGAGTTGAATAAAATGTTAGTCATTTATATATTAGGTAATATAAATTAATGACCGTAACCAATATGTCGGCGGATTATAGCAACTCACGCAACCGTAATGTACCGACACGCGAGTTTGGATTATTATAAATTGTTTGTTCCCTGTTCCCTCTCATTTTTCACCTGCGAAAGATGAAAACTTTCAGTATCGCTCGGGAAGTAAACTTCTATTAAAAACTTTCCTGTTGAACTTGAGCGATTCAGTTCGAGTATGTCGTTGACAACGTAGGACTGAATCACTTGGGTGCGAATTTCATTGGTGCTGCCTGTGATCCGCTAAAAATGCTCGATTAGTCTAGGTACCATACCTACTTGAAGAGTGTATACCATTCGCAATCCTTGCAGAAGTGCAATCTTTAGTTCATCGGTCCCCATAATCAGATCTCCTTTTAATTTTTTATAGTCCAACTCAAAATAGTTCTCAATAGAAGCAGGAACGTTTGATTTGTATATAAGCTCTGTTGACAACCGAGTAGCTAAATTATGTTGGCAAAACTTTTCAAATTGAGATGTATCTTTTCCAACTGGTTCATCTTCTGCAGCTATTCTAGTTTTGGTAGACTCATCTGGCATTCCTTCCTCACAATTTGAGTCATTCCAATCATTCGTTGAATTACATATTAGAGCAGGCAAAATTGTAATTAAACCCATTGTTCCTTCTACGTTTCGCGAATCGTTTGCCATATCACATGGATTTACTATAAGGGGATGTAATGGCTCAGAGCTATCTTCACTCTTTATGAACCTGGAACCTGCTAAACCAGAATAGAATAGTTCCGGGTAAATAATTTTGCATTTATTTAATGTTGCATTTAAGTTTTCTGTTTGACCTTTAATATAAGTTTGTAGTGCTGAAGTTAGTTCTGTAGTGACACCTGCGGAATCATATTATTAACAAAAAAAATAGTGCGGTGTATTTACCCATTAGTTTTTTGTGTTCACTTTCTAATTTTTGGAAGCTTTGTTTTAGTCTTCTATAGTTTTTTAATTGCAGATCATCATTTTGACATGATTCTTGGAACCTAATATGAAGAGAAGGTTCAGAAAGAGATTTGTGGAATGGTATAGTTTGCGTCGGTATCTCTCTTTTAAGGTAGTTTCCACTAAAACTTCTCAATCCTTTTGCAGATTTTTTTAGAATTCGGTTAAATTTCCTTTCTTGATGCTTCTCCATACCATCATAGATTTGGGAAGACTGTTTCGAGGGATCTAAACAGTAGAGTACCACATCTTCTTTAGCCTCCACCGCAGTGGAGGATGCTAACTGAAAATTCTTTGACTGATGAGATTCAAGCTTTGAAGTATCCTTATTGTCACTAAAACTAATTTTTGCGATCGGAAAATTCGGTGCCTGTTGCGTTTCCGATTTAACTTCGCCGTAGCCTTTTTCCGCGCATTCATCTTGTAAAATTTTCACCGTTTGAGTTAAATTTAATCCATTTAAAAACTAAAGGTCATTCGTTGCGGCATAAGTGCATAATTTTTCGGAAAAACTTACCAAGAAAATTGTTTTCAATACGCCAACAGTTTCTTCTCTTCTACAATAACGCGATTAGAAAATTGGAATGAAAATGCGGAAAAACTTACGTTATGTTAAAGGAAACTTTTATACTCATCCTTCTTCCGGAAAAATCAGCAAGCGACTAATTTACGTTCTCGTGTTGGATAGGCGCATCGTTGAGAGAACGAAAGAAATTTTCGTAAAGTCAGAGTCCAGACTAGAATTTGACATTTGCAATCAATACTAAAAGTCACATTTCGCATGTTTCCATAGCGTGTTTAAAGCACGTGGCCCACTTTCAAAGTTTCATGTTTATTCAAAACATCCTTGGTGCCTTCCTCCTGATGTTTACGGGGAGAAATATCTTTAACCCGGTTACTTTGTACCTACTCGATAAAACTTGAACCACATTTACCACCGTGCCTTAAAATAAATGAGTTTTAGTTACCTATCGATTTTTATTAATTATAGTTTGCGTGTCTTGATAATTAAAGACGTGTGGAAGAAGTGGATTTCTTTTGGATTAGACGCATCGAACACAGAAAATAACATACCTATTTGGAATTCCTCAATTTCTTAGTACCTATACAGGGACATTCTGCAATAATCTTTTATACCGAAGGAAACTTCTTGGAGAATTTTACGATAGGTATACGTATTCGACTTTTACTTCGCATTACTATGTCGGAGAATAAAGCATCTATTACTATTACAATTACTATAAGTAAACAGTTGTAGCAATATAAAAGTACATTTAAGTATAGTAAAGGAACAAAGGCATTCGTCAGTTACAACACTGTGGTGGGTTTATATACAATCATAATCATTAGAATATAAGTAAGTAGTACCTATACCTACATTAGTATGTGGTAGGTACTAGATCATTAAACAAAACCAATAGTAACAAAGGTATGGTTTCGTTGGTTAGCGACGCACATGAATCTTTGATTTTACGTAGGTATTGGTTAATTCTTAATGATTTAATGATAGTAGTCAGGGAGACATTTCTGAAAAGTGCATGTCTAACGGCGTTTTGTGCTATAAACTGTAAAGTCAATGTACAAACTGGCAACAGGTGGTTCTAGACTAATTCGACCCCGCTAAAAACGTTGCGCCCTGTTGCCAGACCCGATTTTGGCATTTAATAAGCCCCTAAATCCAAGATGGCGAACGAAAATGCCGTTTTCCGCTATTTCGTGCTCCCAAGGCACACCACTGAACGTTTTGGGTACACTTTACGGGTAGAATCACATCTAGTACACACGATGTCACCGTTTAGGCACACTTTCGTATTCATATTAGGGGCCTAAATGCCAAAAGGCCGCTTAAAACGTCAAAAATGCAAAATTCGTAATTTTTCTTCGTTTTTTTTTCTTTCTAACCTATTGTCGCGGCGTCTAATATGCGGATTCCGCCCTCTGGGTCGGCCGCTAAATGAATGCCATAAAAGGTCCATAAAGATAGCAAGAAACATTTCACGTAAAGTTAACATTTAATTATGTGGGGACCTTCCACAGCGCCATATTCTTGGGGCTTAAGTACCAAGATGGCGCCTCGAAAGTCCAAAGACAGTGACAGTTGTTCTTTTGCCTTATTTTTACTACACTGGTCACCCATTTCCCATTTCGGTGGACCAGAGGAATAATTTGCGAATTGCGACTAACCATCCGGATGTTACACACCCGAAGGGCTTAAATGCGGACGTGGGGACCCGTCTCCTATAAACGTTAACTATGGAACCAAGAGGCAGAAGTTGGTTTGCTGGCGTAATTTCAGGTCATTGATTAAGTAAACATTATGAAAACATGCTTACCCAGTTTTCTTTGAATTTTTCAATCGAAACGTAACTCTTAGCAGTTGAAATTGTTTAGAATATCGAACACTAATATTATGCAAAATGAAAATCTTTGTGAAAATGATTCTGCATTTGAAACATATCAGCCACCGCACTCCCTCGTTTCGGAGCTTGTTCACGTTGCACTGAAGTTAAGAAGTTACTTGAAATCTATAAGAAGCAGCACAAATGGTATTAACGCCAGCAAGAGCGATGCAGTTGCCATGGTACCGGAAAGCGCTTTCCTTTTTTTAACCCAGCTGTTTGGAGGAAACGATTGATTGACACAGATTAATGACGTGGCCCAACGAAAGCGTGAAATTGCTACTTTTTTAAGTCCGTTATTTGGAACACCGCCTGTGAAGATTCACGGCGTTTTCCGTCTGTAACGGAGTGTGGATGGCGAATCCAGGATAATGAAATGAAACCAGTTTTGATGACACTTGAATCCATCCCTCGTGCGTGTGTCCTCTTCGTGTCTTGGGGCTGCAAAACAAGACTCTGCGGACACTTGACAAAGAGGGAGAACTCCTTTCATGCACTCAGAGCTGCGGTTGTAGGGGAAATTCTTACAACAATGGCAGCGAAAATAACTTTATTTTACCTGACTTTGAAAGTCATAGGGAGGAGGTCACAATCTTTTAAAAAGTGTAACTGTAACGTTCGTTAAGTTCGTAAATTTTGATAGTTTGAATAATAACAGAGTTACGTTTTAATTAAAAAATCAAAGAATACTTAGGTTTTCATATAAAGAAATCAGAAATTTTTTTAAATTAAATATAGTTTTATTTTCTTTTCGATGCTCCGGGGCACAGAAATAGGGAGTGGTCAGTGTACTAAAACTATGACACAAAAGAACGAATTTTTCACTGTTTTTGGACTTTCAAGGCGCCATATTGGTAATTAGCAATTAGTAATTAGTAATTACTATAGAAATAAATATTGGACGCCGACAACAGGCCAGAAAGGAAAAAAGAACGAAAAAAGATTTTGCATTTTTGACGTTTTTAAGTGCCATTTTGGCATTTACGCCCATAATATGAACACGAAACGGCGTCGTCGTGTATACTAGATATGTGATTCTATCCGTAAAGTACCCAAAACGTTCGGCGGCATGCCTTGGGGCTCGAAATAACCGAAAAACGACAATTTCGGCCGCCACCTATTTAAGGGCTTAAATGCCAAAATTGGGTCTGGCCAAAAGGCGCATCGTTTTCAGTGGGGTTAAATTAGTTAAGAATCGCCTGTTGCCAGTTTGTAGCACAAAACGCCGTTAGACATGATTTAGAGAGCCTTTTTCAGAAATGTCTCCCTACTATAGTACAAAAATAGTGCCAGGTTTTATTACAAAAAAAATGAAATAAAAATGTCAAATCTAAAAAACAGAAATATTTTTTGTTCGCAAAACGGTTCCCATATGCTTTCGTTACAATTTTGCGGATGTAGGCCTAGTACGTAATAGGCAATAGGCAACACGGCCCCTGTAATCAGGAAGTTCGGAGGAATGAAACACGATGACCTTTTTTGTCTCTCTCTTTCCATGGATCAACCCATAAACCTCTACATTTGTCCGCGAATTACCTATTAATACTCCATATTCCATATTTGACAGTTCGCGTGCCGCAAAGGTTAACAGAAACAGCTGCATCGGTCGACATCTACTAATAATCGATTAAATTATTCATTTCGTAGAAGTGTTGATGAAACACAAAACAAGGGTCGCAATAACGCCATTCCAATTAAAGACAAACCAGTAGATTCCGTTACTATAACCAATATGATACCCACCAAAATTTATTAAATGCCCTTATGCTGTACGAGTATACAGTCTACAGCTCTACACCCTACACAATGTTTTGTTTTATATGCTATTTTGTTTTATAAATTTAATTAGTTTGAACTTATGTTAGTAACCTTGTTATCCTGTAAATGGGGGACCGACAAGAAATCCAAATTCCAACTGTTTGGGGACAAATTATCCAAATAATTTGGATTGTTTTCGTCAAGATATCCAATTTTTATCGACAAATTATCCAAATTCAAATAAAGCGACAAAATATCCAACCAACATCAACAAGATATCCAAATGGGAGTTTCCAAATTGGTTGGATATTTTGTCGCTTTATTTGGATTTGGATAATTTGTCGATAAAAATTGGATATCTTGATGAAAACAATCCAAATTATTTGGATAATTTGTCCCTAAAAAGTTGGAATTTGGATTTCTTGTCGGTCCCTGTAAATGGTTATCTTGTCTGTTGAGCAATAGTAATAAATAAATAAATAAATAAATTAGGACGAAGTAGTGACAAAACAAGAAACCATTCTAATGGTAAATGAAATTAAAAGACCCAGGACCTAAGCGTAAAATAACTACAAATTGGAGATATGTATATTGACATTTGGGTGTCAAAGAACCAAAATTTCATATACGATCAAAAATTGACGACATGGTTAAATTTGGATCCTCCTATACGTACAACTATAAGTATTGATGCAAAGTAGCAGGTTTAATGGCTACGTTTAGATCTTCTGTGTCTAGAATCTAGATTTGGATAAAAAGATGCCTTTTTTGATAAATAGTCAAAGAATGGTGCACTTTTAATCCTTCGATTATCAAATATACTAAGTATATTCTTATTCTTACGTAACCCCACAATTGTTACCATTCAATTCAAATGGAAAGATAATAAATATTTAGTGTAGCAAATTTTGCGTACGAAAATCATGAAATTTAAATCACATTACGTCATAAGAAAAAGTTGTTCTCAATCGCCAGAAAGTGTGATGAGTCCCTATCTTATTTTAATGAGAGTAAGAGGCGAAAAAAGTTAATAACTATTCGAAAAGCCATTCTACATTCGACATTGTTTTGCGTGTACCTTTCGGTGTAATAGAATAGCGTTGCTATTGTGAATTCGATAAATGGTCCGCTACGTCAGACAAAAGCAATTTACCAAGGAGAAAGTACATTGACATAAAATACATGCATAATCTGAAAATAATAGGTTAGACTGATTAACTATTACATTTAAAAAATATGTCATTAGACTAGGTTTGTGGTAAGTACTTATAGGAGTAGGTACCATAGATTCGCTACATCTAAGTACAGATTAAATACAATAATCTGTGATCTAAGTGACCTCCCTACAACAATCAACTTTGAGATACTTTATCTACCGTTCAAGACAATATAGTAGAATTCACTAACTGTAATACTAGATAGGTACATATGTAGTAGGTATGTACCTACCTATAAGAACCTTTTTCGGTCCTGCAATCTCAATTAGGTAGGGCCTAAAAAATATAAAATTACCATGCATAGAGTATAAATAGGTACCGATGTCAATTTTAAATGGGTCGAATAAACATAATGTCGAAAACGTAATTAGAGACTCTCACCTCTTTTGCTTCATCAACCACTCCGAAAAAATGTTAAATGGCCTGTGGGTCGGTATTGAGAGCAATATAGATACCCTATACGGTGATGCGAATTTAGGATGTGTTCTCATGGTTTTTTGACCACACCCAGATTCATTGGAAAAAGTTTTCACTTCTCGGATACGGGTCCTATACAATCATTTTTCATTTTTTAATGATTTTAATGTAGTATCGCGCAAAGCGTTAAAAATTGCATCGCATTTATATAATCTGAAAAGACTTACTAGGCGTATTTTTCTAGTCTCCTTTAATTGCATATTCGAGGTACCTATAATAAATTTATGACCTCGTTTATAATCATAACATATATTTTAGTTAAATAACCCTTTTTAGTCCAAACAAGCAGCAAAAGGCATGTGTATAATAGTTTCAGGTGGACGGAAATATTTTGTCATACAATATCCACACAACTTAGATCACATTTCGGCGCCTTTACATATTTTATGTTATTGTGGACTCGGTGTAAGCGTTTAAAAAAGGTTTATGGAAAAGGGAACAATTATACTTTGTAGGAAGATAATCTCTTTCCCAAAAATTCAAATCTTGTAGAAACTATGCGATAATTGACACACGTATAGGAATAGATTGATTAATTATGTATCAACTTTCGATTGCAATTACATTATTTTTACTAAAGAACCTACCTAACGAATCAAATAAAGAAAGTATCAAGTGTAACTTTCTGCGTAGAATTTGTTTACAAACAAATCGTCTTGTGACAGATAGTTTACATATATACCATAGAGACACGTAATTAATTTAATAATTTTTAAACATTCTTATAGCAGTTAATATACTCATATAAAAGAAATATATGTAAACCACAATCATGCTAACAAATGAAAGTAAGAGTTTTGCAAGATAATTAAAAAGTAAAATGATCCCAACAGGCGTAACAACTTGTAAGTAGATCAAATTTAGTGATCAAGGTATTGAACGTTCTTTAGGGAAAGACTTTCGCTCAATGTCAAAATATCAACCTTTCCACCTCCCTTTTATTACTATCTAATTTAGTTGAATTATATATAAGCGTCACTTTGTGATTATGTGATACACAAGTGTGTACACATCGACGCCAATCAAGTACCTAATAAAAATGTTGAGGGTGAGTTAAACGGGGTTTTGTACGGAATAATTTCACAATACTTTTGGTTGCAGTTTCTACAATTCTGTAGCATCTTCGCGGTGTGCTATGCTGGATCTATTGGATCTATTTTACACGGTGGTAAGAATCATTTTATCTTAATTACGAAGAAAGGTGCGGTGAAAGTTGCAGACGACTGACACGAAATCTTCTCTTTCTCTTTTAACGTGTTCGTAATGTTACGCTTTCATAATTAAATTCCTATAGGTTTTGGTGACGGCGGCGGTTTCAAAGGGTTGTCTACCGGTGGCAGTTTTGGAAGTTACAGTGGGGCATCGCTAGGTAGTTTCGCCGGTGGTGCAGGCCTAGGAGGACACTCCGGCGGTGCGAGTTTACTTGGCGCAGGCTACGGCGATGCCAGTTCCAGTTATGGAGGTGGTAGCTTTTCAAGTGGAAGTTTCGGAGGTGGCGTAGAAAGTCAAGGTGGATATTCATCTGATTCGTTCGGTCAAGGATTTGGTCAAGGAGGTGAGGGAGCTGCTTTATCAATAGGACATGGCTATCCGGCTAGTTCCGGGGGTGGTTTTGGAGGGCATAACGCGAACTTAGGCGGACAAGGTTTCGGAGGTGGAGACTATCACGGAGGTGTCAGCGTAGTCGGTGGTGGTGGTGGTTCAGGGGGACCCAAAGGAACCACTTTTGACTTAACTGGCGGACAAGGTATGTTGTCACAGCAATAAAAAGCTCCATATTAAAATGCAATTTTTTAGCACAAGGAGGTCTATTTGGAGGCACGATTGTTTCTCACGAAAAACACAGTGGTGGCAGTCAGGGTGGACACGGATTTGGCCAGGGAGGGCATATTGCAGCTGTTAGTGAGGGCGCAGAAGATTTGGGAGGATACGGTGGACATAGCATCGGTGGAATAGGCGGAATTCAAGCCGGAGGACTAGGTGCTTATGGAGGAGGCTCCAGTACTAGCTACTCTAATGTTTTGTCGTCTAGTTTCAAAGGAGGAAGCTTACCTTCATTTGGAGGTCATCATTACTGAATGTGTCTTTACAGTTGTATATATTTATTTCTCATTGTTATTTTGTTGCTGTTATAATTTTTTATATTAAACCAAACCTCTCGCATGAATTTTACGATAGGTACTTATGAAAAGCTGCTTTTGTAGTTGCGGTCCCACAAATTCTCGATAGGGTACTGTAGATTCTTTGCAATGATGAAAATAACGTCTGTATACCTTCTTAAAAATGATCTTAGCTTTTGAGTTAGATGGCATGTATAGACAAATCGTTTTTCTTAAAAAATAACACCCGTTGTACCTAACAAGAGTAGAAAAGCGATCAACACCAATATGGAAGTGCGACAGAATTTTTTAGTCGGTATTCTATCTAATAAGTATTATGATAGTTCATATTATATTATGTATTTTCAAAAATAGATTCCGTAGTGTCTTCCACGACGGAAAGTGTACTAAATCGATATCTATACAGGCGTTGTCCCTTGAGTGAGAAATTTAAGAAATATAAAGAGGCGCAACTTGATTAATTTAAATGAGACTTATTCAGGTTTCAGTACCTCGGCGATTTCGTATAGGTACCTAAAGTAGTCGACTGGATTCCCACAGTTGTAAGTCTTTCGTATTATTGCGAGTTATAGTCGCACGTCTACCACAGTCATTGTGGTCATACCCCTGCTCTTTAGAGCCGGAAATTTCATTGGACATTGGAATGTGACGAAGCGTTTAAAGATCTAAAAACAACAATGATTTCGGCACCGGTGCTCTCATGCCCGAATTTTGAGTGGGAGTTTCTTGGTCTTCATACTGATGCGAGTGGGTATGGCCTAGGAGGTGTTTTAACTCAGAGAGTTCCGAATGATAAGTTTGTTATTTAAGCAGGTCGCTGACAAAAGCAGAGCGTAAATATAGCACTATACTAAGAGGGAGTGTTTGACCGTTTTGTGGTGTATTGAAAAATTAAGGATCTGCATTCACTGTAGTGACTGAGCATCATTCTTTCTTCCTAAAAGACGGGCAGGGACAAGACTTGCAGATGTGTTGCATATTGACTCCCTCGGTACTACGCAAACGCAAACGCGCTTAAATTTGAATTTGCTTTAACGCGGTCTAATTAATAAAGCCTTTGGTCATCACTGTGAATTCCAGTTACATTATAGCCCCAACAACCCTCATGATCCTTTACAGCATAATTTGGAATAAACAACAAGAATTGTAACGTTATTATTTATTATAATCAAAACCCTTCTATCATCATGGTATACGGAAAATAAATTAACATATTCTACCAGATAAATCACTATAAACCAAGCTATAAACTATTGTGCTCCATTTTTTATAGATGTGATGATGATAGATGTATATGAGTGTTGGGAAACAAGGAGTAGCTTTTTGCAATAGTTTACTCACCTTGGTGTCACAGTGCTGATCAACCTCATAATCACATGTTATGTTATTAGCTTTCATTTCTTCCTAATTATCCAATATAAACAATATTTTGTTTTCGAAAACTATCTATACCCGAGACGTGAGATTGTAATTTCTAATCAAGTGAGATCTCGACCCAAGATTGCATTCATTAGATGGTAGGTAGTAGGCGAGGTAGCGAATTGAAATTTGTATATGGCCTGTGTTATTTATTTTATTGGACTGCAAGTGGTAGAAGTCTAGAGCAGCTACAGCAGGTCTTGGTCAGCTTAAAGTAGAACTTGTGTGTACTTTCGTTTCGGTGTACATACCTAGAATACGGAGGTAGCAGTAGCAGTATGTAGGTTTATTGCGAGAGTGATGGAAAAAATTAATAAAGATATTGCAAATGTTTCTTAAAGAGCCGCCTTTACCACATTTATTTGTAACCCTGTGTTGGAATCGGTCTCTGAGTAGCCTAGGAGTCGCCCTTATACATGAACATCTGCAGACGTCCAATTGTCCTTTTAGAATTCAACCCTACGGCATCTGTTCCAAACTGTGGGACCTTTAGTAACTATTTTCATTTTTTTCCTGAAGGCTCTGGATTCCCTGGCGGTTACACCATTGCAAATAACGCGTTATAATACTCTTTAAAGTAATAAAGCGAATTCGAAAAGCACATTGCTCGTTTCGGTGCCGTGTATAATTTCTTACCTAAAACTGGTGTTGTCTTGTGCAATAATTACGTGGGTTTCTGTTTCTTGTTTTCGATCAAGACGTCTATGATATACGATTTCAAGAATATAGGTATCGACTTGAGGTAAATTTTCAAACCTTTTAAAGTTCCATCATACTTCTTACCGTACGGCCTCGGCCTTAATCTCGAAATGCTACATAGGTACCATCTCTTAGTTTGCGATATTCTACAATAAAAAAGCATGTTCAAAAGTTCAATATTTAGTTTTCATTTTGGTGTAAATGATATAATAACGAAATATAGTCTGACTGGTCAATGTACGTATCTTTCGGTGAATTAAGATGGATGGCGATATGCTTGTTGATGTGCAGACCATATGGAAGATAAAACGTTAATTACATTATATACACAATGCGGTGGTCAAACACACTCATTTTACTACCTTCCTCGTAAATATAACAACTTCCGCATCGTAGACTTTTGGAGTATAAGGTAGATATTTATTACCGTCCAATGCCAATAGATCGTACATTTATTTTATTTCAGTAGGTGTTTCTTAAATGGAGGAAATTCACAAACATGGGAAACCTGCTCAGAATTGTGAGTTTCAAAAATGATACATTTAAAAACTACAAAATCGACAGTTGCCAATTTTTCTCTACTTCTTCAGAATGCCATCCTACTCCTAATGAAGTGATATGAAAAGGCTGCGTATTGCATAGGATGAGTTTTTAAGTAAGCATTGTTTTACATACAATTAGAATTTTCTCGTGAACTACTGATCTCTTCAAAATAAAACTACTTTATTAGGAGGCCCTCACATAGATCTTCCATTTCAGCGTCAAGTAAGATTTTATACTACATTTTTTAAGCAACTGGTCATCTTTGAAAATTTTACTAGTGGTGCCATCTGGATAAAACACTCTGAGACGGTCCCGTCTTAAACTTGACAGTGTTACGCAAATTCAAATTTAAGCGCGCTTGGCGTTTGCGCAGTACCGAGGGAGTCAATATGCAACACATCTGCAAGTCAGGGACAAGGCGCCGTCGCCGACTGGCCGTCGGGCAACTCGCCATCGCTGAACTTGCCGTCGGTTAGCTCGCCGTCACCGGAAACAAAGATTATTTTTTTTAAATATTTAAATCTAACACTTAGATGTTTATAACTACAATCAGTTTAGTCATATACCTAATATTATTTAGCAATCTCGTTTCATCATTGGAATGGTGTAGTTATTTGCAGTGTTGGGTAAGATCCTTTAATTCTGGATCTAGATAGAGATCCAGATGCATTTAAAAATCATGATCTAGATCCAGATCAAAGATCCCCCAAAACGATCTAGATCCTTTTATCGTATGCAAAATAGTAAGAAAAATTGTACGTAAACCCTTGTTAAAAAGACCTTCCTTGAAAATTATAATAACCGCTTACACCCTTTTAAGAATTCACAACAATCGGAGACTTCAGTTGGAATTGGGAATGGAAATCCAATCATTTGGAAGTTCATAGATGGCTTACGGAAGGTGCAAAGAGGCAGAGACGCTTACTAAGAACAACTGGTCGCTGGTAACCCTCCACCTCTAACCTGTAAAAGTGTTGTCATTAGTCTGATTGCACTTACAAACATTTAGTAGTATTTTTATTATTTATTCCGCTGACGGCGAGTTTGTTCGAAGACGGGTCGGCGACGGCGAATCGCCGACGACTGCGAGTTGTCCTAGACCCCCTAAAAGATCCTCAGGGTCGATTGGCAAGGTGGATATTGAAGCTACAGCAATATCGATTCAAGATGGTTCATCGTAAGGGGACGGAGCACGTTTTGCCTGATGTCCTATCCAGAGGTGTTCCCGTTCCAGTATTGGATGCTGTGGAAGTTTCAAATGACCCCAAGGATAAATGGTGGGAAAACCTAGCTAAGCAAATCGAGAGTAATCCGAGGAAGTAACCCTTATGGAGGATGGAGAATCACAAACTCTTCAAAAAAGTCAAATCCGGTCAGGATAAGGAATGGTTGGAGGTGGTCCCAAAAGTTCAGCGTTCGGAGAACATCACCATGATCCAGTTTTAGCAGGGCATAGGGGCGTATCAAAAACATTGGCGAGAATAAAACAGATATTTTATTGGCCAAAGATGAGGAGCAATCCAAAAATAATAGCAATTACCCAATCCAGACAGACTGCTGGAGACCCTCTACTCCAAAAATCTGAGTCTTGAGGAATATACAATTTTCGGTAAAAGATACCCACAATCAAATTCTAAAGATCGTTTTAGTGCTTGTAATTACAAAGCAATGTCGAATCTAAAAGTGAAATTGTTCCCATAATCTACCTACATGAAAATGAAGATACCCTGAGGGTAATTGTCAAAATTATACGAAGAAAATTGAGTTGCCTACAATAAGGATGAACCTTGCCCATAAAAATTAATAAATAAGAAAAATAAATGTCACATACGGTTTAATAGATCCCTATAAGTATATAGTGGATCAAGTGAAAAACTCACCCTGCATAGATCATAAAAAATATAGATAATAATTATACACATAAGATTGATAGTTCACCAGTTACATGTGTTTTGTACCCATGATACACATCGTGCCTGCAGTCATATTACGATTGATATTGGCGGAGGTAGGAGAGAGGAGGACAGTAGATAGTAAGCAGAAATAACTGCCAAACGCTTGCTTGGGGCATAAACAAAAATTGTAAATATATTTATTGTTAAAGATGGAATAAGAAAAGATACAAATAACGTTATCAATAAGCAAAAATATCAAGAACAAATTATTGACAAATTACTTAGTCTAAAGGCGTAATTATAACTCCGCCACTAGTCTGCCTTCTATAATTTGGAGCATCTAAAGCACGTTTATAATAAACTGTGTTATAATTAGGACCACCCATTAACATTGGTTTTGTTTGTGTAACATAGGGCGATTGATAAACTGTAGCTGGTGTCCTTGTCTTCCACATACTTAATATCAATAAGTAAAAACCACCAATAATCTTTGCAATTAAATTTATACAGGCAATTAGAGTGGGTGTCAAAGCTGTAACAAGATGTGAGGTTTCCCTTAATAGTTTCAATGTAAAATCGCCGAAATATTCAAGAAATTTTACCAATCCAGTTAACATTGCAACAAACAAGACCGATAGAAACCTAATAGATTCTACTGCATTGTTTAAAGTAACAATTGTTTTAAAAAACCAAGAAAGATTTTCATTTGCTGATGCAAAACAACTTGAAGTAGTATCCTTTTTACTGAACTCAGTTTTTTCTGAAGATAAAAATGTTTTAGAAAATGAATCACCCACACCTACTGGTCTAATAATCTTTAATTTTAGTAAAACCTCTTTATGCCTAAATTGTACTTTGCGTATTTTATACCAGTACTTCCCAAAAATTTCAGCGGGCGCTTCAGTCCATATGGCATACCCGGATGGTGTCCCTATTATGCTAGGATCGCTAATTCCAATCCAGTGATCCGTATAGAAACCGCACACACGTTTCTTAACAGCTTCCAAATCACGAATTAGATCAGCTTCTTCGTTAGAAACTAAAATAACATCCCGATACGATTCAACATTAGCTACGTATCGTTTTTCCTGAAAGCTGCCGATAAAAAAACGACTTTGTAACATTTGCTTTGCAAATAACTGTACAGCATCTTCTTCCTCAGAATTTTGGGAACTATTTTTTCGAAAAGTGTTTTCATTAGCCATTGCTAGCTTCCAAAAATGAACAAATGGATCCAGGTATTCATTAAAGGACCAGTCAATTGAGGGAACTATTAACAAGAAACTGTTTTTATTAAAACAAGGCTATAGTGTGTTTACTTGTTTTTAAATCCTTATTGTCGGTGTCCTTTTATGTTTGATATTTTCAAAAATATGTACATCTACATATTATACAAAAAAAATATTTTGCTACAAAGTAGTAGTTCACTATTCCTATATGTGTGGTGGAACTACAATTCATTGTCGGAACTACTACCAAGCTCCATAGCGTTAAGGTGGGTTCATAGCTCTCCGTTCATCCGTTGCGTTGATCCGTCAAACGGATAGTACATTTTGTTAAGGTTCATAGCAATCCGTCCACATTGTACATTTGCAACGTATAACCATAACCTATACTTTATTTTGTACTGTACCCTCCGTCATTTTCAGTATGTAAAAATGGTACGAAAGTAAGAACACATTGCTATCTGGTTATTACCGTGAAGAACGAATAGGCGAACGCTGTTAACGTACCAAACATAACCTCACTCTTGTTAAAAACGGACCAACGGAAACGTAAATGTTCAACTTCAACCAACTTTTCCTTCGTAAACGGACGACGTACGATTTAAAAATTTGCTGTCTTCTGATTGGCTAACGGACAAACGGAAACGTATGAACGGAGAGCTATGAACTTACCTTTAGCCCCAACCATTGATTATTGATTATACCAGGGTTTCTCAAACTTAATTGTTTCACGTACCCCTATTAGACTGTCAAGCCCATGGCGAACCCCTTTAAAAAATACAGACTACAGATAGGCATTTTATTTAAAAAATCATGTCTTAAATTTGGTAAAACAAATAAGGTATTTTCTTAAAAAAAACAAAAGAACTATTTTTAATAAAAAATAAAATAATTTAAAAAATAACATAAGTAGCTACTAAAAGGTTTATTTTTCTTTCGGCCTTAGGTGGTGTTGAAGTGAAGGTTTGTAGGGTGAGTAGGTTCAAAAAAATTTGAGCCTACTCACCCTACAAACCTTCACTTCAACACCACCTAAGGCCGAAAGAAAAATAAACCTTTTAGTAGCTACTTATGTTATGCTACCTTATACCTACTGAAATTAATGTGGTGGGTGGGCTTGTTTTTTTTTCGCAAATGGAGTCGATTCTCGGAGCAATTTTGCTCAATTTTTTAGTCTTTATTGATATTCGGCGTTCAGTCGATTCCTATATTTCGTCTTTAACATGACCAGGTGTGAAAACCCACTCTCACATAAATAAGTGCGACTTTGCTCGTGCGCCGTCACGCTTGTTGTAAGCTGCCACCATTACGTAAATTTTTTCGCCTACCCCCTATCATTCAATGGCGTACCCCCAGTGGTACGCGTACCCCACTTTGAGAAACGCTGGATTATACCAAGGACGTTAAAAATTAAAAATTATTTATAACGTCCTTGGATTATATACACTAATCAAGGCCCCAACATATGTCGATTGCCCCAACTCTCAGAGACTTGCCATAAACTAGACTATATTCCTATTGTATATGTTACATACCTATACACATAATATGTAATCATTGAATAATAAATCTGATCAGATTTATTATTCAATAATGTAATACAATCATTACACTTAACGTATCTAAGGTCGACACACGTTATGTAACCTACAATTCACAGTGGGGCAAAAATCGCAGAAATAATGTGAAATATAATGAAATAAGCTGTTATCTTAAGCCCGCTTGACATGGAGCAATAAAAATTGCAATTGCATGCAAGTTGCAAGAAAAATTGCGAAAGGCATGCGCAGTTCAAAGCCAGCTGATCAATTGCTGCAAGAGACTTGCATGCAATTTTTATAGGACCGGTGCTATTTTTCTTGCATGAATTGTGCAATTCTAGGGATAAATCTAGTTGTTTTTGTGGCACCAACCTAGTAAAATACAGCGGCGGCAACTGTGATGCTGAGAGACGCACTCATTACTTGTTTTTACTAATCTTATTTATTCTTGTAATTTTCATGTTTCTTCAAGCAATCAAAATTTAATTTTCATTTGAGGTTAACAACTTTTGTTGACAAATCCATATGTTTCTTCTGTTGGCAGACATGTGGCAATTGAAATAGAATTGCACCATGTCAAATACCATGCAATGCTTATTGCATGCAAGGATTTGACCTTGCAATTTCTTTCTGCAAGTTCTTGCGCGTAGTATTGCTCCATGTCAAGCGGCCTTAGATGTTCTGTTCTCATTCTCGTGATTAGTTCTAATTAGTATAGCAAGTCTCTACTAACTCCTTACGAGATTTTCCTGTGGTGCGTTTCATTATCCGTTTTATGAGTGAGCAAAGCAGACGGTGCAAAAGGTCACGCGATCACTGGAGCCATAATTAATAACTGTACAATAAACGAACAGTATGGAGCGTCACATTCTACATTTGGCTGGTATGGTATACCTACTAAGTATAAATCACATCCAAATTATCTTCATGAAATAAATCTCAAACCAAAACAGTCAATCAGAGAAGACATTTAGGAGTAAACATGACCACGTGATCATGTCTATTGCGTTTCGTCTGCACTCTATCATGAAATGAGATAGAGTTAACTCCTTTCACTCTGAGTAGAATCCTGATAATTGTTTAGGACGTTTAATGTCTATTATAATTATACACCTAACATATTAAATTTAGGTACTTTACTTGTTATTTACTTTTTAAATGCAATATTGAATCAAGTGAGCAAACACGTGCAATAAAAATTGCGTTTTTTGGTCTTGAAAGGAATGAAGTTTGAATTTGTCGGACTGCAAAGTAGTACATATGTTTTAATATCATCATCAAATATTCCTTTTTTTATTAAAATATAACTCCTGAAAAGAAAAATTGAATAGGAATTTGGTCGTTCACAGCATAAACGGTTCTTTAGTTCCATAGATCTTTGGAGTGTAAAACTGGCTTAATCAATGTGTACACTTCATAACCTCAAAAAGTTGTTATAACCTAACTTATTTTCGAATAGTTTTGGAATTAAAACAACATGCCAGCATTACTTAGAATGCCTAACGAAGATACTTGCTACATTTGCAGCAGTGCCTTACAATTAAAACAAGTTTCCGATACAAAAGCAGTATATCTCTGTAGCAACAAAAATTGTAAATATCCTTTACATAAAATGTATATAGTAGTGGACCGCAAATTTGAAGACATCTGCTCTACTAAAACAGAATCAATAAATCAGTTGGTGGATGAAGTGTATGAAACTTATTACGAAACAGATTAGCAGCAATATTGCAATGAACATAATTTACTTTTGTTAAAACACTGAATAGTATTATATGCTTATAAAAATGTATTTAAAAAGAATGATTACAGCACTTTTACCTAATGAAATCATAATTTATTTATAGATAATTCACATTACGATAATATTTTGTTTATTATCATTTCTATCATTTGGTCTGTTATTTGTTTTGAACTCTCCTTTTCAGGCTCACTATCTGTACTTTTATTTGCAGGTTCCTCCGCAGTAGGTGGGTCAACTTTTATTACGGAACGACGTCGAGCCGCTCTTTCCCTGTCCGCTTTTAATCGTTTCTGTCGCTGTTCTGGAGTTTCATTGCCTCGTTTCTTTGCTGCTCGTAGCATATCGTATATCCTTCTTTTCATTTTCTCCTCGGGAGATTCCTGACTTCTACGAAAAGCGGCCCGAACTGCGTCATTGTATTTACGAATTTGGGATTGCGCGTTGGTTTCGTTTTTTCGTCTCAGTGCAGATCGTGCTTTATCCTTTAAACGACGTATTTCACGTTGCTCTTCTGTCTCTTCTTTTCGTCTGGTAGCTGCTCTTAATGCATTTTTTTGCCTTCGAAGTTGACGCTCCTCTTCTGTTTCATTGCTTCGTTTCGTGGCTGATCGTGTTTTATCCTTTAATCGACGTAGTAGTTTTTGCTCCTCGGTTTCTTGCTTTCGTCTGTTAGCTGCTCTGAGGGCATCTTTTTGCTTACGAAGTGTGGGATCTTCGTCAGATTGATTTCCCTTTTGTTTTTGTCTGCAAAATTTCATTTGGTAGGTAGCAATAAGACTACTCCTACTTGGTGTCTTTTTTTATAAAAAAAAGGATACCTTGATTTAGTCTCCTGTTGTTCTTCATTTGGAGTAGTCGTAGTAGCGGGGTCTGTCCAAGTCCTTATATAATTATCCACTTCATTCGTTTCGTTATCTATCACATCTTCCCAGCTTTCGTCATTATCTATGGAAATGTTTTAAGTAGTACATAGCGATTCTAAAGTAAAAAAACTGAGGGGTTATCCACTGTGGCATTCACTGTACATTTTAGACAATAATAACAACAACTAAGATCAGTACGTTTTACAGTTTCCTCGACAAAATTGGTAAATAAACTCGTACTTTGCTGAAATACATCTCAAAGTACCTATGTAGTTGTAACAATTCATTTAGTGCAATAATGGGTGACCATATCTATATTAAATGAGCCATCAACTACCTTGTTCTACGAATTCACACTTCTCGAAAAAGAGTTGCTGTCGTGTCACCTCTAGATTTTTTGTTTGCATGGGAAATCGTATTAAAGGCGACTCGACGTCAATCCTTTTTTGATCGCTTGTTACTTATTTTCAATGTTTCTGCATTAAATGTTTATTAATACATCTTGTCTGAAAATAAACAACAAAAAATATAGTCGCCTATGAAACACTTGAAAGATTATAGAGCAAACAATTACGCTTTTTACTCTATGGAGTGATCAACATTTAAAGACAACTAAACAAAACAGTGAAGTAGCTGATATTGAACAAAATCCACAAAATTTTGCACTCATTGTGGCACATTTTGCATCTCTTTATCAAAGATCTTGTTGCATTCAGGATTTGTAGTGGATGAACTGCTTCAAAGGCTCTTTCTATATTTTCCCCTAATTCGCCCTCAGGTGTAGGACATTTATAAATTTTTATTTTTCCAAAAACCCAACAGCAGATCTGAATATTCGTTAAACATCATTTGCTGCTGGAAAAACGCGTATCTAATTTTTTTCAAAGAAATTTTAAAAAACGCGCTATTATGCGCGCTTTATCCGTGTGCCTTCTTCGTAGGATGTGTTGATTAACTGCAACATATGTCAAACGCCCTAGCAACTCTCAGGCGATGTAGAAGGGAGTAGACCAGCAATTTCCCAGTTATTAATTTTTTATTTGGAAGTGTATGGCAGTACCACATAAGCTAAGGTACCTATATCTAAACATGGGTCAATTCTATACAATGTAACATGATAAAGGGCCAAATAACATTTTTATTTAACACCGCTTTAGTTCGGAAAACGTCCAAACGCATTCATTTGACGCCCAAAAAGTGAATTTGCCGCATTTTTATGACCACATGTGTTCTAGTTTGTGGAACCAATTTATTGTTTACTCCATGTCAACACATGACCAACAAAGAAATGGTAGCAACTTGAAACAACTTGGATAGAAACAACTGTACATTGACGAAGTGGTTTTTTGCGCGTTTAAGAGGGTGATTCTTTTGACAATAACTCACACAAAGTTCTATATGAGGCCCCAGAAAATAAAGGCCTTGGCTGTATAACAAAAAGCTAGACTGGAGTACAGTGGTTGCTAAAAGATCGCCCCCTTTCGTGGTGGCTGGGGTTAAATATCGTATGAAGTAACAGAACATATGCAAACTTCCCCGAGCTTAAGGCACCGATGGTGCACATTTGTTCTTGACCATAAATTCGTCAAAGACAGTAGTAGTCTGTTCACCAGACCAAAGATACGAACTATAAAGGCTCAACGTGCGGAAGGATACAAATAAATGGAGGCACCCTTTAACACTGAACTTCCAAATGAGGAATCTGCTAAAAAAAGCAACAATATCAGCTCGGCATGCAGAAGGTTATTGGGAAGTAATAGAAACCTAACGCTGAAAATGACCAGATGGTCTTTTGAAACTATCATTATATTAATGGTCACCTATATGGCCAAAAATGCAGCAGATCACAGTTCAAAAACAGTTGCAGTACGCAAGGAACAAAAAGTTCAAACCAGGAAAATTAATAGAACCCATTATTATTCTCAAAGAAGAATATGTGCAAGAAGTGGTCTATATCCCATCGGAGATTATGTTGATAAACTACAAGTGCACCTACACCGTATAACAGCATCAAACTCAAGGAAAAATAGGAACAAACAATCCCCATTTTCAAAAGAAGCTTTACACATGTAAACTACGTGACGCAGACCTTATTTTGGTTTCAGCACCTTCCATACATTTGGGCCACCCTGTATGTAAAGTATTTTAATACCTTTAAAGTAAATCTGGTGGGTTTTTTTACGAATAACACAAAGTGTGATCGTTTCGTTTAATTGTGTATTACAGCATTGATTTTTCCTTTTTGAATTTTGTTTTTACCGATTTTGGAAATTGTTCAATTTAGATAACGTACTAGAAGTAAGGCCCATCGAGTCGAGTCGTGCGTGATTTATAAAAGGTTATATATGGTCGTTGGTGATAAGAAGTTTTATTGTTACGCAAAAGTTAATTAATTTTAAGAAATAAAAACGCGAGTGGTTCAGAGATAAGAAGATGCAAGTGTTTTATGAAGATATGCGAGTTTCTCGACGTATGCGGGGGCGCGTTCAGTCAAAGCTGGCATTTTTAAGTTTTAGTGTTTAAGGTGAAAATTCTTAAAATAGATTATGTTTTAGTGGAAGTCGTGGACCCTTTAAATACTAGAGACAACGAGAAAACGCGGAAAACGTGTGTGAGTTGATCAAGCAAGTTGGTAGATAGTGATATAAGGTTCTCTTTTCATTAAATGTTAAATGTTCTACCCTCCGAAAATATATCAAATTTTGTCGTCAAATTCAGTGTTATCAAGAAAAAGTGAAGTTCGTGAAGGGTTCGGCGTTTGTGTACCAGTTTTAGTGCGCCTGAATATCGCAAATTTGTTACGATCAGATTGATTGGATTACTTAATAACTGTAAGTAACTAGTACGTTTTATTTAATGTTAATGCTTGTGTGCGTGGTATTTTTTTTCATTTTGTGGAATAATTTCTTGTCTGCCATTTAAACTGTGTATTTAATCGAACCAAAAGTGCAACCCAGATTAGAGTTTTCATGTTACATTTTTCTATTCGTGCCCAAGAATTATGTCAGGTGTCAATGAAAATTTGTGTAATTATTTGGAATGTTCGGAAGTTGATCGAAGCTACAGTCTCCCAAATTATTAATTTCAACTTCATAAAAATGGAACCCGGATATGTATATACAAGGAAAATAATAAAATTCAAAATTTCAATGTAGATTTGTTTTGAGCTAACTGGACAGGTGTTTTGTGGGTCGCTTAGTGACCATTTGCCATTGCCCTACTTATGGTTCAAAAAGAGAAATTGGAAAAACTGAGATGGGGATTAGCAGCTCTGAACCTCTGGGTAGAAGTCCTACCACCTTTCAAGCGGTCATTTACACAATTCTGTTTTCAGTATTAGGCAGACAATGGTCAAGGGACTAACTGATTAAACTTTGGTCATTTGGACTTTCTGTCCGTCTGTCTGTGTTTGTCTCTCGTTTTCTATATTGGTTTGAAACAGTTTAGTGTGAACTGTCTTTAAAGTGGTTTTATAGTGCTTTTTCAATTACTGGAATTTTCCTCATTTGCTGTGAATTGTCAAATTCAATACGGACAAGTGTGAAATTTCAAATTCTCCAACTAAATTATGAACAGTATGTAATTGGATTCTTTTTCTAGTGTAATGTTCATCAAAAATTCAACCATCAACATGAAAATGTTTATTGCTGATGTATGTGCTAATTGACGGAATTTATTTATCGAGATATTTAGCAGCAAATAAATCCCGCGATTATTGAAATACATCTGTAAAATTTCCATTTTTTCTTCTTTTGAATACATACATTTTATCAAGAATATCATTAATAATCTAATAAATAATTCAGATATTGACGTTTATTGAAAAACATTTGAAAAAGATGAAAATACATAAGGTTGGTTGCATGGGTATTTTCCTTGTATATTTAAGAAATTAACATAGATTTGTATGTTCAGAGTTAAAGTATACACAGTATATATGCAATGCACTTATCATAAGTTAACAATTTCTGTTAAGTGGAAACAATGGGTCTCTTGTGGTCGTTAAACAAAAAGGGCAAGAAATCACAATTAGAAATTAGTAAGATTAACTTGGCATTTTCCTTACCACATGCCTCCCTAGAAGTGTAACTGATGACAAAAATGTCATATTTAGTTTGAAATCACTTTATAGCATCGGCATATTGTGCAGTTAAAATGCATTCTTGTAGGTGATTGGAAAATACGCTTAAATATTTTATTCCGAACAAACTTTAGCAAGAAATAACCCCCCTTACGCCCCTCGGCTAAGACTGATCTTATAAAGCTATAGGTGCCAAGCTTTTGAAACATGCTACTCTAAAAACCAGGAGTCATAAAAATCCTGACAACATTAGGTGAATGGGCTGCATCAGGTCTTAAGCCCTCACATCAATAATAATGTTTGCAAACAATATTTTATTTATTGGTAGACAACGTCATACTTTAAAAATTATAGCACAATAAAGAACCCACGCATTATGCAACTAACTGCCGAAAAGTACAGTATAAGTACAGAGATTCTTTTTAAACAATATCTCTGTATAGCTATCTGCTTCTTACACTACAAATTACTCGAGTCACAACCCTCACAGCAACCATAAGACATCCAAGCATTGGTATATCTTTTGTTGAACGTTTGTTACCTACTACTCTCCCTTTCACACAAAGATTACCCACTCCTAAACGACAGTGAGAAAGAAATTCTAATGCCTAAGAAATTAGATATGTAGGGGTTTTGGCTCGGGTCTTGGACATGAAAATAACAAATTCAAAATTAGTTTTTGAAAAAAAGTTCAACAATTAGTGTAAATTAAAAATTTTGAATCTGTGTTACGATTTTCGAGAAATTTATTCTTTTGTGCTGAACTGCATTGTAGTGGAGGATCATATTAATTTTCCATTGACCCTCATATTGTGTACATTTAAAATGTAATATTTGGGAGGTAAACATTGCTTAATTGGTTGAGCCATTATCATTCATATTAGAGATAAAATAGTGATACAACTTGGAATTAAAATTTTTTTCGGACAGACAGACTTTCAGACTTCAATATGGCAGCCGATTGCAACTTAACAACCAGTATCATAAACAGTACCTATTCATAATGGCATTATTGATAATTAATGAGATAATGACATATTATGTATTAGCATTACACACCGCATCAGCATTTGGTGTACACATTTTCAGATAGTGGATAACCCCTCGTAATAGACCTACCCTCACAGCACACTTCATCTTTGATATAACATTCCTCCCATCTTTGATCCTGTTTTAAAGGAAAATAATGCGGAACAGCGCTGGGTTTTAGCCTGCTCAAAAATATTTAGAACGGAAAATAGAACATGTAACAATTACCTACCCAAGATTTATCCGTTCAGGATCAACAAAATCATCTGTGCTGAAGTGATGGTAACACATAAATCTCTTCAAACATGGTAGAGCACCTCCGAACACAAAATCTTCAAAAATTTGAGGAGTTTTACAATTTTCTACCCACGTTAAACACCTAAAAGTGAATATTATAAATTATAATGGAGGACATTTAGTTGAAAGCATACAGATCAAAGTCACTAGGAAATTGGAAAAAATGGTCTGCTGATAAATTATCATTTGTATTGTTGCATCCAATCATTGAGCATGTCCTTTCCATTTTGTTATAAATAAAAACTGTTTTCTAATATATAATTTATAGTTCATTTAAACACAAATTTCATTTACTTCGAAGAAAATGGCAGTTGAAAAACTGGGTTAACATGTACGCACAGAACGACAGCACAGAACGACAGAACTCCTCCCCCGAAAACACTCGTACGTCTGTGTATCGTCAACCAATAGCATAACACTAGCGATTTACCAGTATGCGTATTTCCGAACATACCCAAAATTCAATTTACACGCTCCGGACGAAAACCGGAAAATCCGATAAAAATTTCGGATGCATGAGAACTAGCCTTTAATTCATTTGTTTTATAATGGTTTTATATCATCTGGAGCGCCGACCGTATTTAAATTTATACCGCCCTTAAGATAACGAAAGATTTCTTGCCCCTCAATTTTTTATAGTAACCTGTTTCAGCCATTATGTAGGTTGTACCAAAGATCACTTTGGTTGTACCAAAAATCAGGTGTTACCATCAGCGAAGAAATTTTTAGAAATCGTTGGTTTAGACGTAAAATCTTCATACTCGTGCGTGTGCGTAGAGTGACCTTCGATACATACAGTATGTTCCAAACGAAAAGTATAAATTCGATATTTTATAAAGCAGTAATTTTAGGAAGTTTTATTTTTGACCTTATCTATGTAGGTCAATCGAATTTTTAAATGAAAAATTAGTGTTGTACACTCGGTTGTACATTTACTTATCTGTTCGGGTGTTCGGGACTGTTATGACGAATGACGATACCTTGAGAAAACTTGCTTGCGTTCAACAATGACTCAAGAACGTTATCTTCGTTAGCAATTTATCGATAGAATGTGACATTTAACAGTACACTGTGTGAAAGAAAAAGACGCAGCGCATACGAGTTGCTCGTGGTGTATGCATCGATGTAAGAGTACGCATGCGCTCTCCCCATGTGATAGAAACAGACAAAAATATTAACTACCTAGATTAATTTTAATTAAGGGTAGTTTTGACTTAATTTTTTTAGGCAACACATTTGCAATGTGTTTGTTTACATATATACGTGTGATTTTGACTACTCCCTCCCTAAACGGCTGTACGGTTTGGATGAAATTTTTTTATGTATCTGTTTGCCCCCCGGATGGTTTAGATTTACATTTGGGTCAGATCGGATTATGGGATTTTTTAAAACTTCTTTTTTTTGTTGATCTCGCACTCTTGCTATTTCGCGTACCGATACATGCGCCAAGTCACCTGCGCCGCGCTGTATCGTACCGATGTGTTTACTTTTTTTACATTCTGTACGCTGGGTTTCCTTTATTATATATCGAGCGTACGAAGTCGCGGGGGAAGATCTTGTAAAAGAATAAATTTGTCAAGCGAGATGAAAGATCTTGCTCAAGCTAAAGCACGACGTCGAAGATTTTTGACTTGAAGAGAGTAGGTATGTATATAAATGATTATTGTCCTCAGTTTTTGAATTTTATTTTTCTGTTTGTAAAAATTGTTGACTGAAAGGTGTTTTTGTTTACAATAAAATCTAATTTTTTTAATCCGAAAAAATAAATGGTGGGAGAGGGGGGTGCGTCAAAGTGACTGCCCTTCTACTCAAAACAAAACAGGTTTGGCCCGGTCCTGAACGCACAACGCCACAACGGCATCGAACTTTTTTTCAAATAGCACCGCAAAATTTTTATTAAAATATTCGAAAGATTTTCTGTTTCTGTGTACAACCTACAAAAATTATGCTAGGTTTTATTACAAAAAAAAGGAGAAAAAAAAGTTTGGCACCGTAACGCCTTGCAACTTTTTTTTCGAATAAAATAGATATTAAGTTATTTGATAGATATTCTTTGTTTAACTTACCAAAACTGGAATAAGTTTTATTACAAAAAAAACTGTATTCTTAAAGCGAAGAACTTAGAAAAAATATTAATATGTTATAAAATGTATCAGTGTATAAGGTGGTTCAAATTTCGTGACTCATCATGAAGATCTCCGTAACGGTAGCAAATGAAGTGTAGGTTAAATGGCAGTAAAGTTCCCCTTTGTGTGACTAAAAAAGGCATTTGAAATTTTGCACAAATCTTTGGAAACCACTGAGATACCATCGAAGAACTGAATATGACAAATTTCGTTTTCAATTTCCTCAACTTAAACAGTCGGAAATGGACGGTTCTCGCTATCCGGGAACTTTTTTTCGGACAATCTGAATTACCTGTTATCAGAATTTCCATTATATATACGCTAGATGTAGAAGCTGCAGTAGGCTAATACTTACTTTCTTATGGACGCCATACTGCATTTTTATGAATGAGATAGACGACAAGAAAAGAAAAATAATGACGCGTCACACTCACTATTTACACAAATATACAAAGATCCCAATATAGTGGGCCACGAATTTGAACCACCCTGTACATGTGTACACATTTTTATCATGATTAATTAATAGATATAAAAAATTAAGTTAAAATAAACAAAAAAGCAACGAGCGGAATTTTCGAGTGGTTACCCGTCCATAAATTCTAACAGGGAATAATGTTGCTTGACTTTAGAAAATAAAATGAAACGAAAGTAAAACAAGTTGTAAATCAGCATACCTATGCATAATGAAAGCGCATTTTTGGTAATGCAAATCAGTATTTCATTAGTAAAGTTTAAAATTATCGATCTCACGAGTAATTTAACGCAAAATAGACTAGAGCCTGCACATCTACACTATAACAGAAAGCTTTTAGTGAAAATGTAAAGTCTCTAGCAATTGTAATTCCTGAGGTCTCAGTCGGACAGTCGGCCATAACGAATATAATAGCGTATTTTTTTCCAAAAATGCGCTAAAAAAGGTGCAATGCGCGCTTTTTGGTTTGAGTTATTATATAATCTGTCCTGTCAAGAATTATTGGTACTTTTGTACCTAAGAAGTCAATTTCATATACAAACTGCCGCAACGAAAATTTGTACCACGACATTGATTTTTAAGTTTCAAACTTTGAAACCAAAGCGCGATTTTTAGGTAACTATTTGATCAATTTGAAACAAATAAAAACGGTTGGATATAAATAATAAAAATCCCTTTCAAATTATTAATCATTTGCCTCTTCGTCCCATATAACAATGGGGGGATTTTTGCACAAAAATTAGCCCCCTCTATATAAAAATCAAGTTGTTTTTAGGGGAAACAAAATTGTGATGTGATGGTTTTGTCCATCTATCTGTCTGTTCCTCGTCTAACTCGAGAACGAAAAAAGACAGCGATGTGAACCTTCGTCAATCGATCTCTACGAGTTCAAGGATCAGTGGCGCTATTGAATATATGAGCCGGATGCGAGTTGATTTAATTCGGTTCGAGCGGTGCACAAACGATTTACTGCGCAGTGATTAACTTATTTGCGGAATATTTACGAAATTCCTCTGGTAGAGTCAAAACTTCATATGCGAATATCTTGAGAATCGAGTGTCGGAAGTCATGTACTCACAAAGGGAAAGTGGTAGGTCTCTCTGACACTCATCCAACCATCGGATAACTAGAATCAGAGATATGATATATTTTAGGGAACGGAGTGTGGGAACAGGTACCCACTCACAAAGGAAAAAGGGACGAGACGCACAGTGAATATTAAAGTTTTTTGCTAGATGCATGTGTGCAAATTTGAATTTGGATATCTCTAGAACTATTTGGTGTAATGAAGTCCTATGTTTTGAATAACCTAATTGTTTATTCTGTCTTTTATTACTATGTATTGTTATGTTAACATCCTGTCACCCTTCTAGAACTTAAACCCCTGGTGCTTGCTTTAGTTCGTATATTAGGTAGGTAGTAAGTATCTTATAAGTTATTAATAGGACTTCCCCAAACGTTAAATAAAAACATTGAGTAATTTCCTAATCCTTCACTCAACGATAAAAGTAAGTTTTTAAGGTGTTAAGTGACATATTTCCGCAAGAAAAGAGTGACATGATGGTAGTTCAATGGGCCGTATGAATAAAAACATACATTTTTGTCTTATGTATGAATAAAAATAAGCAAATGCTTATACTTGCAAAATTCAAAGTAAATACTCGTAACTGCCCCTTTATACTGGTTTGTTTAGCAGCGCTGCATTGCGTCCTGTGACCCTGTCCTTCTGCTTAGCAGCGCTGCCAAGTCGCCTAGAGCGAAGGAGAAGGAGCACTTACGAGTATTTGCTTTGAATTTTTCAAGTATAAGCATTTGCTACTTTTATTCATACGGGCCAATAATTGTTTATATTCATTTGGAATAAACAGTGGTATAGGTAGTACCAAGCAGAATTCTAAAGACCCCACAGAACAATTAAATTACGCACTTGGATTTTTCTAAAATTTTTCTTGAGAATGAAAATTTACCCATATCATTGAATAATAATTTATTATTCAATGCCCATATCTACTCATAGTCTCATAAACACGTATTTCAATTTTTTATGCGTGTGTATAGTTATACAGATATTTCACTTGACCTGAATGAACAATGTTGGAAAACCCCTGCACTTGATTCTATTAATCGATAGCGGTTTCACGCATTTGTACGTTCATTATTAGGAACAACTGTTGAAATATTGCGAAATATGATATACATACCTAAATAAATCTATTAATTTTTTTAAAATTTCGTTTCGCATCCTTTATTCCGGCCTATGACCAGCTGTGCATAGTCTAGGTACAAAATAACAAAACGGAGAGCGATTGTCAGCTGATCAGCTGATCGCTGCCGTTTTGGACCATTTTAATTTCAAGGGCATTTTCGCCCAAACAAAAACAATACAATCTTGATGATTCAGCGAGAGAATCCACAGCAGAGGATCTAATTATTACGTATAGGTTTTTCTGCTTTTGCAGGAGGTGGTTTCTGGTTTTTTACTTGTGTTTTCTCAGAATTGCCTAACCCCTTCCTTGGATACACAGCCAATAAAGTATAAAGATATCCTAATCTAATGTAGGCTCACTTTGTTTGTTTGTCCTGATTAAACGATTTGTGGCATAACTTCATTTGCACACATCATAAAAATGTCTAACAAAATTGGCACATTCAAGCTGTTGAGCGGATATTCAATTCCGTTAACAGTCCGTAAGTTTAAAATATATCTCTTGCATAGAAGACAATTGTTTGATTTCAGTGGGTACTTATCTTATGGAAGGCGATGAGCTTTTCAAATCCTTAGACAAAGCTTTAGCAGCGGGTTACCGAGCGTTTGGTACGTATAGAGAGCAGCTAAACTTGATTAATAATGGGAGATTTGTAGACACGGCTCATATGTACAACAACGAAAAAAGCATGGGCGACGCTTTAAAAGAGTTGTTACCAAAGCACAATTTAAGTAGAGAAGATATATTTATACAAACAAAGCTTGGTAAGTAGCTTTAATTATGAATTGTTGCTGGTTGCATTCTATTGCTGGCATTACTAGATCCATCTCATCATGGTGATAAAGCAAGACGTGCTTTGGAGGCTTCACTAAACAAACTACAGTGCGATTATATAGACTTATATTTAATTCACTGGCCCGGTTCTTATACTGTTTCATCTAAGAGTGGGGAAAATTTAAAGTTGCGTACTGCCAGTTGGGCAGCACTTGTTGAAGCACAGAAAGATGGGTTAGTCAAGAGTCTTGGTGTTTCGAATTATATTACTCGTCATCTCAATGAATTGTTAAGCAATTGTTACGGCGTTAAACCGGTACTGAATCAGGTCAGTAAAACAGATTTGTGACGTTTTCCATTTGCAAACAATATCCAACACAAGTTCGCTTTACCGGTCGGCTATAATTTTTGTTTGCAGATGGAGTGGCATCCGGGTTGTTTCGATAATGAACTAAAGCAATTGTGCGATAGAGAAGGTATACTTATACAGGCATATATGCCTTTAGGTGGTAGTGGAAACTCAAGTCTGTTAAGAAATAAAGCTGTCAGCTCTATTGCAAAAAAATTGGAAAAATCACCAGCACAAGTAGGTCTTAGTTAATCTCGAGTTTCCCTTATGTGTAATTTTGTAGGTATTGCTACGTTGGTGTTTACAACAAAATGTTGGCGTGGCACCTAAAGCTCGTTCAATGGAGCATTTAAAGAATAATCTAGAAACGGATTTTGTTATACCAGAGAGTGATATGGCATTACTTAATGATGTAAATAGTATAAGATTTGATTGGAACCCATATAATGTACTTTAGACAGTCGTTTAACCTTCATAAAATGAACTTTGATAATACAACCTGGCCGTTATAAATAAAAGTAATTCAAGATTAGCTTTTTTATTTGGTCTTAATCTTTTAAACATTCTAACAAAATAACATATTTGGGAATGATTACAACTTGGCAATTCCAATAACACCACATGCTACCCTTGCGCCGGCATTACCAGTAGTTTTGCTTAATTCATGAGTAGTAACTCCAAGATCATCGGGATCGGCGTGTACTACTAAAGTACGACCAATAATGCAGTTGGCACCTTCCAATGAAATCGCCTTATCGGAAATTTTTACCTTTGCAATTCCATCATTTCCAGCTTCCACATTTCCCAAATCGCCGACATGGCGAACTGAAGCGTTGGGAGCACCATGATCTTTACCCTCGGGATTGAAATGGGCACCGGCGGAGATGCATCCATTGGTATTATCACCAAATTCGTGAATGTGGAAACCGTGAAGGCCTTTACCTAAACCGCTGATTTCGCCTGTGACGACCACTGGATCTTTGCCGCTCTGTAATTGTTGAAAAAATATCATTTCTGTCTTAAATTTTACCTTTAGACGTTACCGCTTGGTCGAACCAAAGGGTTCCCTTTACAACTTCACCATTTAAAACACACACAGCTTTAGTAGGCATTCTGCAAAGTAGTTGAGACAAGACCGTTCAAAAACAAGCGCCGGTAATGATGTAGCAGAAATTAATTAAAGCGAATTATCTTAATACCACCGGAATGGAAGGTTTTCAATGTCAGAAGTCAAAGATTACACAATTCCAGAATATAACATGCGAGAAGGGACACGTACTTTGCCACCTTCATCCTTAGTACGCTGTACTGATACTAGAGAGCATTGTTTCATTCTATGGATTCTAGATAACCAAAGTTCCAAAATTTCCCCGCCACTTAACCGTCAGATTCATACGCTTGAAGCATTGTTTATTCATATGGAATTATTCATTTAAATGAATAAACAAAACTTGAAGCTATTAAAATTTAACACGTAGATTACATATATAGTACACTTTAACCTCTGATTTATTATCTTGACAGTGAACGTACAAACTGTGGATCACACCCGTATTCCAACATGTGGCACTTTAGTAGTTTCAGTCTTTGTGTCTACGGGCATTGAGCGCCTTTGTAACATGGGTGGACTTCTTTTTGCACCACTACTTTATTTATGAACCGATTTTAACGAATCTTTTTTTAAAATAAACATAGTAGGTACCTTTTTTTGTATCTCGTTTACTTTCGATGATATAAGACATGCAAAGAAATGACCGATTCTAGTTTTGAAATTACGTCCAACCTATCGGACATTTTGAACTTTCACATGGAAATTTTAAATAAACATCTAATCTAATAAACATTTAATAATAAGAAAGTTGCCCATGCAATCTGGGCCACACTGTATATTAAAGAATTTCTAGTCAAACGGTAAAATTTCTATATAAATTTGAAAACATGTCTTGAAAGGTAAATTCAGTATTTAGTAAAACAGTACTATCATTATGCATACAATACAATACAATCAATGGTACTACATATTAATAGCGTTGTTAAAATTACTTCAAAACTGTTATCTTTTGGAATTTTCCGATTTGGCAACATCGCTAACAAAAAAAAGATTTCTTCATGCAACCTAACCAAACTTTTCTTTTAAAAACTCATCACAAACATAGTGTTTTTCACAATAAATCTGTTGTTACATTATGAATAGGCCAGAGTTGGAGGGCACGGCGCATTTATTGGATGAATTAGACAGCAAGTAATAATACGCAATCTTTAAATTAATTAGAGCATTTTTTCACAGAGAAATTAATCGTAGTCTTACGCGATGGCAGGACATTAATTGGATACCTTCGAAGTGTTGATCAATTTGCCAATTTGGTATTACATAAAACGATCGAAAGAATTCACGTAGGCAAGGAGTTTGGCGATATACCAAGGGGCGTGTTTATTGTAAGAGGTGAAAATGTAGTTCTTTTAGGTGAAATAGTACGTAGGAAATGCTGTCGGTATTTGATAAATAATGCCGTGATTTACAGGATGCTCAGAAGGAAGCTAACTTGCCTTTACGACAGGTTACTGTTGATGACATTTTAGATGCACAAAGAAGAGAACAAGAATCGAAGCAGGATCAACAAAGACTGTTAACAAAAGCGTTGAAAGAACGTGGCTTAAATTTGATGCCCGATTTAACTCACGATGATATGTTTTAAATTAAATTAAGATTAGTATTTACAGATTTAATGAACGGAAATTTCAATACTGTTAGGTTCTAAAATAAAGCTACTGTATTAAAAAAATGTTTCATAAATTATTGGTTTTTCATCATCGTCAAATTCTTTGGGTTGTAATATTAGTTCTTTTGACTCGACAATTAGAGGTGGTGAATAACCATTAAGACAGTGCAGTAGAGATGAGCTCAGTTTGTTATCGCTCATTTCCGCAGAGCAATAATCTTCTGCGCAGCTAGTAAAACTTGAGTCCGTCGGTGATCTCGTTGCTCTATGTTCTAGGTATTTACAGAAACTGGATGATAATGAGGTACCATCTTCAGTATCTTCTTTGATTTGATCAACACTCTTTGATCTCCTCATTGGGTTTGAGGTAACATACGCATCAGATAATTCTTCTATACTATCGATTGAACACTCGTTGGTGGTAATCTTTGGTAAATTGTTTATATTGGTTCGGGACACTAGCAACACAGGCTTGCGACTACGTGGTGTCATCATTGTTTCCTACAATAAGAATAATTATATCCCATACTGCTCTTTAATAATTAGGGCTGTACAGCTACGCATTAATAACTAAATTCTGAGGATATATTAAAACAGAACCTGATCCCGAATGGAAACTGCAAAACTATCATACAATATCTATCTAAGTATATAGGTACCTATACAAAATTAAAATATAGCACAATCATTTACATATTATTCATAAATATACTGAGATGAAAACTTGAATATGTAATACAAACGACAATTGCACAAACTCGCCCGTAAATTTGAATGTTTCTGTTCTTTGAATAATCAAAACTTCTGATTGTCATGTATGTATAATAATAATAATACTTTTATTTCCATAGGACATAGGTATAGATAAATTACATAACGTATTTATGGAAACCAGAAAACGGATCTGTTTCAGTTTACCATGTAGGTTCACTGGTCTCCCACCAGACCCAATATCGATGCCTATTATTATTAAACATTTAGTAAAAATTAGAATTGAGTGTTCTGTAGTAATTACTATAAGGAAGAGAAAATGATAAATGTGATTGATAATGGTGTGTTTATTGACTTAGGCGAAGCAAGGTTTTAAACATATTTCAAACTCAAAATGGACAAACTTCGAAACGAGGATACCTAATTTACAACAACAATGTGGATATTTTTAGAGAGTACATCGGCCTTTACTCAAGACACTCAAAGAGCAACAGTAATTTCAACATAAGTATGTTGAAGCCAAAGAGATGTGAAGCATCAAGTTTGGAGATTACATGCTCATCATCACTGTTCAAGCTACACTATTTGCTCCTATTCCTCTCACAATAAAAGAATGGTTTATTCTTTACCTATAGATTTCTAAAAAAAATGTAAGTCTGAGTTGATAAGAATTCTGCATACTTAAACTTGCAATGAAAATATACATAACATGAAGATTATCTTTTGAATTATCTAGATAATTATCATCTTCTATCTGCTTCTAGATAATATCTTTCCTGATTATCTGTTATCTAGATAAAGAAACGGTTATCTATGCACAACACATAACATAAGGATACAAGCAATGTGTTAGTAAAATAAACAAAAGATTACTCATGCATGTACAATACCTGCATAGCTTTTGACATTCGTTGAGCTGACTGTGTTATTGGCGACATTGACTTACGTCCTTGTTCTTCGGGTGTAAATACTAGTTCGGAATACATACGTTTAGAAACGCATGCAGGTGTACTTGTTACGTACATGCTGCATTCACGTTCTTTATGTATTGATAAATTTGGATCGGAATTACTACGCTTCCCTTCTAATACAGGCGTTTGTAATTTTTTTGAAATGTTCTCATCATCCGAACTAGAATCACATTTATTACAAAATAGCTTAGCTCGAACCAACACCCCTTGAAAAGGACTCTGTAAATACATGCACGATTGTTATTTTGTTAATTGCACATATATAACGTTCACAAATTAACAAAAAGTGACCTACGTTTAAAAGTTCTTCACTGGATGCACGCAAGGGTGTTGCGTTTCGTTTGTGAACCTTGGCAATGCTTCTTTGGAAAATATGTTTCTTAATTGAGCTACCTACACTTTTATTCTTGTTAGCTACAGAACTTCTTATTACTTGCAATGGAGTTCCATAACCATTTTCTTTGTTAAATTGTTTTATTAACTTTTGCTTCTTGGAGGACTCGGGGAGACTTTGAATGTACGCATACAGTTGTGCTAGCGCAGTTTCAGTTGGGTTTGACTGATTTTCTTTGGTTGTACGTTCAACATCGACAAAGCTATATACTGTATTTGCAGCAAAATTGTCACTAAGTGATTCATTACAATTTCTAGATGACAGTTTCCGCCGTTCTTGTTCAGTGTAATAGGCTTTAATATCCACTGCCAGCTTGGGAGGTAGCTCAAAGAGTTTTGACGAATTTGTAATCATAAATGAAACAGTATTAGAAAGGATTTGGGAGTTAGTGTGCAGTATTTCCGGTGTCAAATTGCGTGGGCACAATAAATGTGGCGTAAATAATGTTGCTAAACTATCAGCTGACATTTTGTTATTCCTTTCGTACGATGCAGTGTAATGTAATAAATCCAGCACATCCTTTAACAAAATTCTGTTTTCGGATGGAAGTAGCAACAAAAGCAGCTGTAGAGCATGTAGAAGTTTAGCTTCCATCGCCGAATTTTCACAAACACCGCATAATTCTAAAAGTAAATTAGATATGAATGTGTATATCCTGGCATATATGTACTAACCAGCAATTTGACAGTGAGCCGGATAATGAGCTTCAGTAAGTAATGGTTCAGGTAAATCGGCCAGGAATCCTTTCAGTACAGATGCACAATCGTGTACTGAATAAGTATTATTTTCCAAGGAGACGGTAACACCTTGATTTAACAAATTTTTTAATTCCTGTTGCCTTGCTAAAGATCCGGTACGTCTAAATATGCCTTCAGTTGATATATCTAAAGATATGTTAACAGTAAGTGAAAAATTATAAGCCTGCCTTACTTGGTTCTTGCTTCAAAAACTCGATTAATTGATATACCTGACAAATTCCTTCCTGCGTCAAGGGGATACCATCCATAATACCTCTACAAATCTTACTTTTCTTGTTAAATGGAATGAAACTCCATTTCCTTAGTTTGGATTTCTCCGACAAAGCATCTCTGTCAAATAAAAGAATCTCACTACAGGTGCATAAGATTACTAAAATACCTACTCTTCGGTGCTTAAATCCAATACAAACGATAAATGCATTCTTACTAGAGTATTAAACTGTTCCACATTTTCTCTACGAAGTTTTTCAGCAAGACAGTCTCTTTTAAACATTTTCACAGGTGGGTTATGCTCGCGTTTTACCCAAAGTTCCCTCGAAAATTCCTCTTGCAAAATGGTAAATGAACACCACGTCGTGTCGGTTAAAATTTAAATTTGAAAACATCAAAATATAAAAAATACTCTCTTAACTAAAAACATCAAACTACTTTTCTGTCACCTGTGATTACTACACCGTCTTGTATCTTGTGATTAACTACCACCACCAGCTCAACTACTTACTGTACATATACAGGGTGTAAATCGAAAAGTGGAACATAGGCGTTTAACATGGGAAATTACTTTTTCTTTGCGCAAACGTTTCCTAATTATTTTACGCAAAAATACTTCAAATAAAAGTTATAGAGATACCTATACATTCTGCATCTAAATCATGTGATAAGATTATTCTACCTCTTCTTGCCCGCGAACAAATTAATTATAAAGGTTCTGTTTTCACGAGTTTTTAGTCATGGACTATGATAAAAGAAAACTACAAGAATTTTGTCACTTATAATTGCACAAGAGGTTTGTATTTTACCGAGTAAATTTGGGTTGTTTAGGTAATGAAAATCTGTTGCCTAGCAATTAGACGAGAAAAACTGTCAACTAATAAAAAGGCGACACCGCAGGTGGAGCATTTTTAGGTTGACAGTTTTTCGAGTCCAATTGCTAAAAGGAAACAGATTTGAATTGCCACAACCCAAATTTATTCGGTTTAAATACAAACCTCGAGTGTAATTCGGCAGGACAATTTAACGAACAAGAAATTCACCAAACTAATCAATTATTGACAGACGTCAAACTAGTCATATGGGTAAGGATAATGCGATTATTGGTTCGAAAATGAATAAGTGAAAAAACCACTAGTGCATTTGTCGCTGGAAAAGTTGCAGGTAACTTTTGCCGCTGTGAAAGTGACAATTACACTGCGGCTTATGTGATTTTTTATACATGAGTTGAATTGTCACCGAAAAATTATCTAAGGTATTTCAAATTAAAGACCTAGAAGAAGCAACGCAATGCCTTACGATACGAATCACAAGGAATCTCCATAAAAGATTGGATCAAAGTGAATATTTAAAGAAAACTCCATTTGATTCCAGCTTCAATAGGTATTTCAAAAGAAGCAAGTACATCATCTATGCCAGGGTAATGTTTAAGTTGGTATTAAAAGGAAGTTAAGTAAGGTTGGTACCACGCAAATGAAAGTCGGTTTTTCACGAACTTTCTACGGAGGTTACGGGTGGATGAATGAAGCAGATTTTTTTACAGACTAATGGTAGGCACTACCAATGACTTTGTGGCGATCCAATGCAAAGTTTTTTCTTAAGATATCTTATATAATTACAATTAGAGAAAAAATTTAAAAAAGAAACACTGCCATAGTCATTTGCTGTACATATCATTAGTCTGTAAAAAAAAAATCAGCTTCATTCATCCAACCATAACCTAGTTATATCCATAGAAAGTTCGTGAAAAACCGACTAAGAATTGTTTTTTTACGGAGTTATCAATGTTCGCGATTTTTGAAAATATTTTTTTAAGAGCTATTATCCAAGGGGCGGCAGACGGTCGATTTTAGCATACTCGGGATAGGGCAAAATGGAACTCGCATCAGTTAAAATTTTGATCATTCTCGTTCAGTGGATTTCGAGCTAGTTCCCCTACTATGACAGTTCGAATTAATTTATTAAGTTTTTCTTTTATTTATAAGAGATAAAGATAATTGTTTCGAAGAGAACATGGTCATTGTAATCACTAAGAAAAATTGTATTGTATGGTCGACCCTGAGAATTAAATAAATTTATCTCATAAATTATGAACGAACGACCAAAGCAGTTTCATATTCACATCATGATTAATTTTATTTAATTCTTGCCCAGAGTTTATTTGAATGTTTAACAAAATTTTGCTTAAGGTAGGTTCGTAGTGTTTTGTTATTGGTCCTTTTTGACCTGGGAACAATGCAAACAGCATTTTTATTTGGCGCCCAACGTGGGGCATTGCATTTACTTTTGGAATGTATTGTAGCTCGAAATTAAAGGGTCACAGCAATAATATCCAACTTTATTTATTCAAAAGTATTTTAAGAGCTTGTGTGACAAACAGTTTTTGATTTATAACACATGGCATAGTTGAATAAGACTTAAATCTTCATATCACTTTGGGCCTCTCATTCTAAATTCCACATTTTGATTAACCAGGTAGGTATAGTACATGCCACAACTTTTAACTTCACTTATTCCGATTCGCTAGTGGAGTTACCATAATCTCCCACTAGAGAAGGCGTCAACTTGATTTTTTTAGCCTGTGTAGGCTTATTAATTAAAACTAATTTTTTTAAATCGTTGTTATTTAACACCTTGATGGCTTTTCGTTCTTTAGCAGGTGTAAAAGAAGTACATGGCAAAGATGACTCGCTGATAATATTCTTTCGGATCAATTCTGTGGTCTTTTCTGCATCCAGTTTGGGTTTCAACTTTAAACTGAGCACAGCAGCCAACTGTTTATCTTCTTCTGCTTCTGGCACCAATTTGATGTTCAAACTGGACTTTTTCAATAAGGCGTTATCTTTTGCAATGGATGTTTTAAAATCATTTTTATTTTTCTGAAAAATATTGTTACACTGTGTGTAGGTACAATGAAAATAATAAAACTTACCCTGAAAGCTTGTCTTAACATACAATTGGCACTGTAATCATCAGCCCATGTTGATTCGTTTCTATTGTATAAATTAACCAGTGCTGTCTTTGCATTCTCCGCATAATTTTGATCATCAGTACCATGCTCCAACTTAAACATTGAATCATCAAACAAGCGCTTCTGCGTTTCTTTAGTTTCAGGCACAACTTGTTCGTTCTGTGTTGGATCCCATCTATTTTCTTGCCGACGTGCTCCCGACAAAACTATGTATTCCAAATTCTACAATTATGAAATTAGCAGAAGATTTCGTTAAACATTTTAGTATTAC